ATGATCTTACCTTAGCTGTGTGTCAGCGGCTCGCCGTTTCTTCCTTTCTGCTCGGTTAAGGGGTACAGCCACGGGTGTTGTCAATACTGTGTGGGTGCTCTGCAGGCTGCAGCAGGGTGTGTTCGGGAGCTGGATTTCACTGCAGCGCACTGATGTAGCGACTTGTTCTGCAGACTCGCTGTCTGATGCAGTTCATATGCACGACTGCAGGCAGGGGAGTCTGCAGCGGGCTGATCTCCTGTTACACAGACAGTGGCTTCATAAAAAAGTGACACACAGCTAACTCTAAATGATGCTTTATCGAGACTAGTTTAGTCTCAGCTGTCAGAGGACACACAGAAACCACAATCTATCCCACAGCCACAACAAACCAGGTGCAGTGACGCCCCCAGAAATGTTTCACAGGGGTGCCACACGGGGCCACTAAAAATCTTGGGGTGGCACACCAAAATCAAAAGTCATAACTAAATTCTAGAAATCTAATTATGCTGTTGAAGTATACAGGCTAGCTGAAAACTATGTCCATATGAGAGTTAAGGAATCGCATACTGACTTACTTAAGTTTCTTATTTTACTATTTAGTTTTTACAGTATTTACCTGTAGTTAATAATTTCAGTTCCACAAAAATTCTGTTTTAATGTGTACATGTTTTGTTGTGTTCACACCGAGCACAAATAAAACAATTTGTGCCAGTGAATTAGATGTAAAGTCAATGTAAAGATGGATTAGACGCGAAATTCCCACAATGCAAAAAATGTGGCGCAAATGAAGTAAGCAGCAAGATTTCACATCATACGTTGATTCATGAGAGTTGAAATATCTGAACTTCAGCGACCAATTTGTACCACGATAGCCAATAAGCACTGAGATCCTCCAGAAGTGTATGATGCCAAGGACGTAGAGGTGGAAGTTCATTCATCGAATCAGTGATTTCACACAAATATGATGTGGGTCCTAAGGTACTGACCTGTAATGACCTAAAATAATGACCTAAGGTACTGAACTTTTGGTCTCGGGACACCAAGTTTCGGTCAGGTAACACTTGTTTATCATAGCAAAGGTGATCGCGCCATCTGTGACTCTCCTTGTGCTAGCCTTGTGCTTTCCGAGATCTAATGTAGGATATCCATTTAGGGCGGCAGTAAAGGAGGAGATTTGATGAAGGATGTCCATCTAGGGATAGAAAAAGGTATAAAAACTCACAGTTTTAGAGAAGTGCAGATCCCCTGATCAATTGCTGGGGGACACTTTGTTGCTCTGAACAAGAACCAGAGCTGAACAAAGTTTTTCCATCTGAGAAGATATCAACAACTTTGGTGTTGCCATGGCCTGTGACGAGCCAGAGCCTGATGAGATGGGGTTACTAAGAGTGCTTGAGCTCATCTTGTTTGTACTCAATCTCCTAAGCGAGGTGCTGTTATCGATTTTAAAGATTTTTACATTTTTACCTCCAACCTTGTTCTTCAGAAATCAAAGTGAAGGCTCTTATCGGTTAGTCTAGACTCAAAATTTAACATTTCCCTAGCAGCTAAAGTAAACTTGCAGCTTAAATAATTTCCAGCAACCACAACTGTTACCTTTTAGAAGGGAGCTGTCGTCAACTTAATTGTTCTCTCTAGTAATTCTATGTTACAGACCACTGAGGGTGCTAGTGAGAGGCCAGTGGGGAAGGCTTTAGGAAGAAGACAGTTAATAGCTAGATGAATCACCTTCGCATCAGTCTATGTAATGATTAGAATCTTGCACTGTAGGTGAACAGGTAAGCTAATCTTTTCCACTTTAATGTGAAGGCTGGTCTGGACTCTTGTACAGGAGTGCCAAGGTAACATAAGGAACAAAACATTTACTGGTAACAAGCCTTTGAAGTTTAGGGGAGACTTGTGGGCACCCATAGAACCCACTGTCATTCAGATATCTTAAGGTGAGAGTTCAAGGGACCCCTTTTACAATTGCCATGCCAGTTGCTCCCTCACCAATTTAGCCAGGTGTTGGAGCTTTATTTCCCCCCCCTTCCCAACAAGCTATGCCATCATGGTTGGAAGCAATGGATGCCTTTGGTTGTCTAGTTTCACAAGACACCACTACCTTTGTGCCAGGTTAAAAAATGAGCATGCCACAGTCTCTTAAAGACAGTGCATTTCTTCCCCATTCATTTTTATCAGGGTGGACAAGTGCACCAAAAATCACTTTTCCAAAATAACTTTGTGTCATATTTGCTGAAAACTGTCACAATATTCTGAAAGAAGTACATGACATGGATAGTCTTTTAAAAAAAACATATCCCTTCTCCTCTTCACATCTGTAGTGTGTGGAAACAGGTGAATAGTGTTTACAGTTTTGGGAAAGTGGTCTGTCTTTTGGTAGATGGCATCATGGTCTGGGATGTTTAGTTAACAGGCCAAGTTATAGTGTGAAAGCAGTCGGGAAAGACTGAAAACCCAGGACTTTAGTTTGGGTAAAAATAAATTTTGGCCACAAGGGGGCACCAACAGACAAGCACGTTTTCTATGGCTATGACAGTGCATGTGGATAAAGTATGGGTATAGCAATCAAGCCATGAGCCTCATAATGCTAAAAGAAGACTTACAATAGGAACTCTAAATACTGTACAATAATTTAAATGCCTAAAGGAACTAAACATTGGGTGTATGCTGTAAATAGAGCCACACTGTGATCTTGTGCAACTTGTTTAGTCTCAGTTATTCACAAAGCATTACCTCATGTTTGATTTTATTGACATACACACAGTATAAGCAATTTAAAATGCACTCAAATGCACCTGCTGACTACTGTTAACATTACAACTTGAAGTGAATACTACTTGGGGAATCAGTGGGCTGCCACCGTGCCTTGGTCAAAGTCATTGTTAAGGGTATTCCTAATTCCTTACTTGTACTTTATGTGTTGAGGGGGCACAAATCTCACATTAACAACAGGCCTGTCTTACTGAGCTTGTCTTGTTGTGGCAGCTGTGTTCAGAGTCACATGGTGGAACACGGAAATGTATTTTTTCACATTTCACAACTTCGACTCTGCAGCTGGTGGGAGTCTGTCCGCATTTAATAATATCACATTCCAATAAGGGATTTCATAACAGCCAACACTAGATAGATTGTGGCATTCTCTGCCCCATCCTTGAAGATATTTCCGGATATCTTCCTGTATTATCACTTCATATCCTTTAACCTCTTTTGGGAATCTCTTGTCCAGCATCCATTTCTCTATGAAAGAACAGCACTGCTTGGGTGACATAGAGATGTTAACATGAGCATCGCCTTTCCCAAGTTAACAAAGAAATGTCTCATGTGTACATCTGCGACCAATTGTTCCCCTTTCCATTAGAGATGGGCGAAAATGAAGGACTCTTTTTAGTGTCTGTTTTATACTAGGTCATACATCCAAGTACTCATGAATCCCATTACAAGCTGTAACTATTTGCAGCAACAGCACTGAATGAACAACCTCCGCTGGCCAAGGCCAGTGGTGCATTTCTGTGTTCTGTGGATGGTCATTCTTCCTACTTTGGTGTGTTCATGAGCTTTGAGTTGTAATGTGCCAACAACATGGAAACTACAAAGGAGAGGTGATGTATTTTATTGCTTAGACCATTTCAATGACACTTATTGAAGAAGAGCAAAGGAAACGGATCAGCTGAGCCATGAAATATGGTTGGAAACTCATTTTCAGGTTATTCCGATACCAAAGGTCATATCTGTAACATCATGCTGAGCATGCATAGCGTACTTATATACAAGAGGGATGCTGACTCAATGTGTTAAAATCAATATTTTATCTTTATTAATGTAAACTTGTACATGAACACTGGTAATGCATTGAAGAGGAGTTTTGTGGGGCGGGCAGCACTAGCTGTTGACTGTGCATGTACTATAACGGAGTAAACTGACACCATGTTTTGCAAAATGTATCAACACTCAAAGGTTTGATATACCGTAAAACTTCAATTAAAAGCCCAGTCCCAGTCAAACATCCAGTTCCTTTTAATAGCCGGGTGTAGCTACACATTTTGACAAATAGAGACCTGGTCTGGTTACCAAGCAGTTCAATTTATAGAAGTTCTTTAGATGTATAAACCCAGATTGTTGATTACCCACTGGAGCTAATGCTGGTTACTTGCATAGACTGCACATACAAATATAAATGTTTAAACTTTGGCAAAATGGAGATGCTACATACTGAATCCATGAGCACCAGAGAGGACTGTAATTCATTCAGATTTACTGGCATGATGAAAAAACAAGTAGTGACTTCCTTCCTCTGAAGCTGTCATGAAGTCAGAATATGCATCCATTCCTCAATTACCCTGTAAGTTAGTCATATTCCTTAGGGTCCACCAATCAAAAGAATCAAGTGTTTTTCATAAAAAATAATCCAAGTCATGAATATTGTCTTAACAGGATAAAGTGGTGTTGTGTCGGTATGCCAGGCGCTGTAATCCTCTCTGATGCCCCATTTGTCTGAGCTAGATCAAGCTGGATTCTTATTTGGTATGTTATTCTTAGTTGAGCAACAGTTTTGTGTAAAAGGAATTAAAGGCCTGTCCCATTTGGATGCTTCTCCCAAATGTGAGCCTCCTGAGTTCAGTGATTTAAGCAAATAATAGCCCAGGCTACTAACTGAAGTTATACAGTATTTACATGTATATTGTGAAATGAATTGGCCACTACTTTCTTTTCCTCAATATCTTCCAACTGTTAAAGACACATGGGAATATTTAAGCAAGAGTAAAAATATTTGTCCCAGAGATCTTTCCTTGCACCTCAATAAACACATGGAGACATAAAGAGGAAGAGCTGAATGGATAGAAATCAAACAGTGGGCCATACATCTTTACAAATTAATTACATACTTTTAATGGATCAGTCAGACATTTTAGGAATCCCTCATTTGCTATCGTAGCTGACACTCAGATAAGATTATTCAATCCCAGTTTCATCTCTCTGAGATGTAAAAATGAAGGATTTGTTGTTTTTCTCAAAAGTGTGTTTTTCAGTTATGGACAGATTTATGCTACTTTCAGTGCTTGTGCATGTAGACTGTATGAATAAGACATCAGGATCGACATAAACGTACTACAAAATCATGGCAATGCAAGCATAAAAAAATGGACAAAAACATGCAAAACCTGCAAAAAAGAGGACTTAACTATTTTTTCACATTTGTATCAAGGACAAAGGACTCAAAGATCCATTACTGCAAATGTGCAAAAGTACTGTATGTTTTGCCCAAAAACATAATTAAATAACACTTCAAATTCAGTGAGTTTGTTGATGATGTTTATTTGTTCTAGATTTTCAAAAATTAGAAAAAATGGAGCTGGTTTTCTAAAGGAGAATTGGGGTGGATGGTCATCATATTGCCATCTAAAAATCCAGTATCTAAACTACAGAGAATGTTGTCAGTGAGCCCAATACGATATAAAAAAACTGCTGATTGTACTGAAGGCAAGCATTTTTCAGATTAAGCAGGAAATCAGACACCATGTTTAGATGCACTGCAACCTGGCTAATGTAATATTCGTGTATCCGTACGGGATTTCTCCCCGACCCCCGTATGGTTTACTAGTTTTTACTGTAGCAACACAAGGCAATGCCCCCTGGTTTGTGTGAGTACATGGTGGGCTGACAGCGCAGAGAAGTCAGGCTCTGTTGTGAGAGCAGTTTTCCTTGGAACAACTGTGCCTGGATTTTGTTTTTTAAAGGGACAGTTCATCCTAAAATCAAAAACATATATATTTCCTCTTACCTATGGTGCTACTGATCATTCTAGATTGTTAAGGTGTGAGTTGTCAAGGGTTGGAGATATTGGCTGTAGAGATATCTGCCCTCACACCAAAACAATTAAACTAGTAGTGCAGATTCAAAAATATGTCATTTTGATATTTGGGTGAATTGTCCCTTTAAATAGTCATTGGATTACTGGTGGAAATTTATTAAGCATTCTGGAGACTTGGTGCAAGTTTCCAATTTATTCTGACTGGATGTCCAGTGTGTATGACGCACAGGAAATCAGTGAGATGACCCAACAGCTTCACCAAAGCATCACCTCAACTGTAGCCAAGGCACGTTTACATTATGAGTGTAATATCGTCTCACAAACAAAAGATAAACAAGTCTGCTTGACCTCTGTAGCCTTTTCCAAGTGTAGATGAATCTGCCTACAGTCATCCACCCCAACCACCTATTTATGTTACAGGAACTTGTGACATACTGGACTGGGAAACACCTGGCCACTGTACATAAACCGAGCATCAACTATATTTCCTCCAAAATGTGTTTGGCAAAGCAAATTGGCAGAGTTGCATACACGGCCATTTTACAATCTAACATTTTGGTCATGTGTGTTTTGATTTAACGCTTAAAAATGCAATTATCCCATAAAAAGAGATGCTTCGCAGTCACTGGCTTTGCATGACATACTGATTAGTCTATAAAAATATTTAAAGAATCAGCTGTACTAGATGAGCTTGTACCTTCCTGCCTCAAAAGTTACCGTTTAGTAAGTGAAAACACATAGAACAATCAGAACACAACAGCCACTGTGTTTCAGTGTCTGTGTAGGAGCCATGTTGTGTTTATTTATTTATTCTGTACCTCCAAAATACAGGGGGCAGTATTTCCTTTGTTTACTGACTCTACCCAGATGTTGGCGGGGGTCAGGTAGGTTACTTGAGGTTACTCAGTGTTACACAGGTGTGGCTGATTAGAGGGGAGAAGCAAACAGTTTTCGACTGTGTTTGTGCTTGTGCTTGTGCCTGTGCTTGTGCGTTTTTCTGTTTATAATTTATGTGGACAAGTATTAAGTATGTGGCTTCCGCAAGAAATTAAATGAACATTATTATTTCAAACGCAAAGGAAGTTTTCGTTGGTTTATTGCCTTGCCCGAGTACACGTCAAAACAAAATTAATCAGCATCCAGTAGTGGCTACAGGACCAGTCACTACAGTCTGTCAACGACAAAAACACCCCACGTCCACAGTCATGAGACTCCATTTAAGTACCACAGGAAGAGTTTCTTTCATCCTATTAGATAAAACTCTTACACATCAGAAGCAAAGTCCACAGTATTCGTGCAGTGTCATCGGCTGTGCAAACAGAACCTCCCACTGGGCTGACTGACAGTCACCATGGTGACTCTAGTACCTGGGATGACCTCCCTTCACTGTTGACCTCATCTCAAACAGTTTAAATGTCTGGGACTGTTCAGATGGGGGTGTTGGGCAAATGCCCATTAGAGCCTGTGAGTGCCCCATTACATACTAACCCACTGGCCTGTCCGCTGTGTGGGGCTTGTCCGTTGCGTTTGCTAAGAAACTGGTTCCCCCTGAGGGCCTCCTGCTCCACAGGGGTCCTTCTGTCAGAGTCTCTGCTCGGAGTTCCTGCCTGTGGGGACGTTCGGCTGCGGCAGCGCTTTCTAATGACGTACAGAAGCGTGGTGATTAGCAGACTGAGGCAGAGCACCAGCAGAATTGACACAACCACCAGCTCCTTCAGGTAGCAGGGGCCTCGGGCCGACGGCAGGGGCTCCCCATCCAGAAACTTTGCGTCTTTCTGCCCAGATTCCCCTGTCCACTGGGTCACATTTCTGCCCCACTGTCTGGTGGAGGCCTGAGTGTCCCTGCTGGACAGCGTTGGCTCAGTCTCTCTTTGTTTTGGTTCTGTTCTTTTAGTCCCCACAGAGGTTTGCAGTCCAGGCCCAGGCCTGGCCACAGCCCTTGTGGTGGGTATGGGGTGTGTCTGAGGCCGGGTGTAGCTGACTGGAGTTTGAACCACGGGGCTGCTCTTCTGTTTTACATGATAGATGGCCATAGTCTGTTGGTATCCATTCTCAGTGGACAGGCAGAGGTAGTGGCCCAGCGTGGCAGGGGTGGCGACAAAGCTCAGACTCCCGTCCTCCAGGTGCAGGTAAAGCTCTGAGGACAGCCGGCTGTTCGGTCGCTCCCACAGCTGCTGGGAGAGCTGCGACGCTGCAGGACACTGAAGCCGCACCACTTCATTCAGAGACACTGACAGCAGCTCACCTGCAGGACATGAGGCTGATATACAGATTACTCACCAAAAACCCAGATACACCAAGACCATCCATACTCCTCTACCTAACATCACTGAATATCAAAAAAGCTGCCAACTACAATCTAAATCTGCCACAGAATGTGTTGACCAGTACAGAGATGCTTAAATGTGCGTGTTACATGAGCATGTCTGAAAGACATTATTAAAGCAAAAGGCTGCAAGGAAACTAATATTCTTCGCATGCTCGCTGCATAGTCTGTGCAAAGCGTGCCTACTGTAACACAGGTGTGTGGGATGTACTGATGTTGACCTTTAATTAAAGTGCATACATCAGTTTGCTTGTGCTCAGTGTGGGATTAAAACCCATGCAGGGGAAGTAAAGCTGATGTGATGGTGGAACAGGGTATTTTAAAAAAAAGCTGAACACAACTGATTAAGCTAATCAGGTGTGGGCAAAGAGATGGGAAATATGCAGGCTGGCCTTCATCAGGAACAGGACTGAAATCATTGCTAAATGCTCCGTAGCTTTGTTAAACTGATAAACAACGCATATTGAAAAACTTTTTTTTTTTGTTAACATGACAGTTCATCTGATTCTATACCTTAATGTAAGCATGATGGCCACACTCAATGTAACTGCATTCCTTCACAACACTGGTTGTGCACATTCTCAGATTAACGCTACATGTCCTCCACACGCAGTTAGGACATTTACAATGGACTCAGTATATCAGGGTGTGGAGAGAGGTCAGCAACAGACTGAGCAAACCACAACAATGATGGTGTTAAGTTTTAAAAAGGAACAAATAAACCTCTCAATATATGTGCAAATGCATGGCACTAGAGGTTGGTGGGAGTAGCTGCTCATTAGTAACCAAGTAAAAAAAAAACCCAATAAAACCAAAGCTGTTACATTTCTATATGGACCTTCTCATATACTCCTCTGTAAGTTTGGACTGGGACACTCAGTTTTTATAGTTGAATATTTTAATTATGACAATAATTTATGAGGATGAAGGGCCATCAGTTATTTAAAGAGTAACTAAACCCTAAAACCATTTTTTTAAGCTGATAATTATTGTTTCTGTTTGTACAGTAGTGTTACTAACTGATCCTGCTCAAAATCTTGACAGTTTAGTGCAAACTGTTGAAAATGTACATTTTACTTTAAAAATGTGGTATGGAGTGCCCTCTACAGCTTGAAACCTGGTTACTACATTTGAATTTACATTACATTACATTGGAGGCGAATGACTCTTTTTCGGGGCGAATGACATCACTAACCGTCCACGCTAAAGCCTGCCCTCCTCCCTTTACTATAAAACCATTCTGTCCGCAGTTATCAAACTGATAGCGAGTAGGTTGGATCAGAGCAGAGAGAGTAGTAGAGCAGAGAGAATAGCTAGTAATTTGTCGAATTGTATTGTTAGCATAGTGTATTTTAGTGTAGGTTTACAGGTTAGTTGGTCAAGGAGAGGTGCAGAGGCTTGGGAGTATATGTGCGAGGCAGCGAGGGAGGGATGTGGAGGGCCGCTCCGCCATGAGAGAGAGCCGAGCCTTGGGGGTATATGTGCGGTGCCGCGAGGGAGGGAGGGAGGGAGGGGTGGATGGATGCGGTGGGCTGCTGCGCGGTGAGCCCAGGCTCCCAGAGAGGGAGAAATAGAACCAAGTAGGATAAAATAAGTCAAAGTGTGGAGAAGGGGACCGGCTGAGCTCCGGCCGCCTTCCCTTCTGCCTGTGTGACACAGTCAGGGGGAGGGATCCAAGCTACCATCAGCACAATGAAAAGCCTCTCTCCTCTCCCCGCAGCGAGGGACAATCTTCACTCCGCCTGCCCCCCTCCCTCAGCTCCGCCTATTTTTTCAGAATCTTTTGAAATCAAGCTGTGGGCGGAGTAATGCCCAGAGAGGGGGGTTTAGGTCCCCTTTAATACATTTGTCCACTTCATTAGTAAATTAAAGGTTTTAAATATTGTCCATTACAGCCTTATTTTAATGAATGCTGTTTTAATATGCCTTTAGTTAAAAGGTGTGTATTTCTGAGACAGCCAGACCTTCACCATGTGTGCATATGCATGCTCTGAGGAAGTTCTAAATTTCTTTGCAGAGTATGAACAACAATTCAGGTAAGAAAATACTGATAAATCCTGGATTTGTGCATGAAATGTAAGCACAGTTTAAGCACAGATATGTGCATGCCCACTGTTTGTGAATGAGGCCAAACGTCATGACAGAAATGTCAAAGATATGTTTGAGGTCATTTGAAAACAGCACGTCCATCACACAGATGTCAACTAATAAGTAATCTTTACACTTTAAAATGTCCCACTCAGAACTAACAATTTTCCAAAAAGTATTAATTGCATCAGTCCGGATGTTTCCTACATGGAGCATATAAACAGCTTAAGCAAAGCAAAGCAGCTCAGATAAGTGACACTTACCTGCAGGCATTTTGTTTGGACCAAATCTGGCTGTATGTGTAAATGCAACACTGTTGCATGCCTCCTCAACGTTCCCTCGATCTACGTCCTGGCCACTGAGGAGGGAGAAATACAGTCAACAAAAATGGCTGGTACAACTGCCATACTAAATAGCAGCCACTCCCGTTTCCTTTTTTATAGTTTATTGGTATTACCGTTTCTTTGCTGAAATCTGTAGCAAGGGAATCCCGTGGACAAACATTCTGAGATTCTCAAACAGCTCATAGTTTAGCCCAGACATTCACAAGTGGGAGTCTCAGCTCAGGAGAGCTATAGATAAGGGCTCAAAGAGGAGGCTTTAAATTATCTGCTCCATAACTGCACTATCTTTGCTAGGAAATCTTGATCTTCAGCTCCTGCAAAAAATGTTCTAATGGATTGAAGTCTGGTGATTGACTGACCATTCTAAAACCTTGATTTTCTCAGGGAAAACAGATGACTGGCTGCTCTGTGTAATCCCATGTGGAACAAAAAAGTATGTCGGGTGCTCTTGGAAAACAAGGAAAAAACAGGATACACAGGAACGCCGTCCAGGCACTCCAAAATACAAGAAAAAATATATCGAGTAAGGAAACATTAAAAAGCCTTTATTGTGGTGGCTAAATCATTAAAAGAGTCAACAGATTTTGACCACTGCAGGTCTTCATCAGGTCTTCAGACAACACGAATATGGTCTCATCTATACCAAAGCAACAACCAATAGGAGGGCAATAACGTCTGTAGAGGTGTCAAGCTCTTGAGGACCCAAAAATTTACTATTTGTCATCATCAATCGATCCATGTGTTCCTAAAATGATGAGGCAACTACATTGTTTGTCCACAACATAAACACAACATTTTAAACTTTATAATGGCATAATCTTGTGGTACTCACAGACTGGTCTGGGTGTTTGAGGCCTCCACACAAGCCCGGCTGACAGAGTCCCAACCACAGAAGGGGTCTCGCGCCAGGACACACTGAGGACAGGTCCAGTAGAAGGAGCAGTTTGCTGTTGGAACCCTCACCACACCCTCTGATGTGCCAACGTATATCACACCCTGTAGTGGGACAAACAGTTAGTATAGCACCCTCAGATGATTTTACATGAACCTTTACCTTTTCTATGACATACACTTTTAGTAATGAGTGGATCTTCACAGGTTTATATATATTAATTTCATTCGGGTTATGTGAACTGCATATATTCTAATCCTCATTCTGAGAAAAGCTAGGGTCTAAGTACCATGTCTGAAGGGTTACTTTTAGTTTCAAAGGTACCATACTGAAGGTGTTTGGTGGAAACGGGGCTTTACTTACCTGCACATTAAGAAGAACGCTTTTTTTTTTTTGCTCAGCACTCAACACAGACACAGTTTGAAGGGAAGAGAGGAGTTGAAGTAAAGTGAATTAAGTAAATGTTCCTCTCAATGTGTACCTTTGTTACGGAGAGCTTCAGGCTCTTGACAGGCTGAGGCTGCTCAAAAACTTGGACCTCCTCTATGATGTGGGCTCCACTCTGCAGCAGCACAGCTTTGTGCAGGTAACCAGACTCTGAAACAAAGTTAGTGAGAAAACAGTCAGGTTTATACAATGAACAGACTTAATACTGTTATAGCCCTCATGGAGTTGACAGTAGGTTGTGAAACGATAACATCTAGTCTGAGATGTCCAAGTTCTCGAATAAAACATCATCATTATTACACAAAAGACCTCTTTCTTCAAAAAAAAAAAAAAAAAAAAAAAGGATGTTGCGATATTAAAATGGCAACAATTAAGCAAATTCAGCCAGTCCCTGTGAATTCTGCACGAAGAACAGCTGATTCCAAACTTTTCAGCAGTAATGTGTATCTACAGCATCATCAAGATCTAAAATAATCTTGTGGTGTGACCACTTGTGGCACTATGGAGCAACGTTTTTACGAGTGGCTCACTGTTTTGGTTGTGTTGTGCACACAAACATCTGTGCTTCTAACCATGAACCTGTGTGTCAGTTTGTTAGCATCAGCTGTCGGCATCACAGTTTGTTATCAGGGGAAACACCCCAACAGTTTTGAGCCTCCTAGAGCTCAACAACCGACCTCTGAGGACTGCAATCAACACAAAGACACCCCTGTCCACAGTTAGCCTGCTGTCAGTGCTCTACCTCACCATACAGGATTAACAGTGCAGGCAAAAGGGACATAACATTGGATTGGATAACTGGCGATAGAAGGGGTGATATATGGAAATTAATACGGAGGTCTCACACAGCTCTGATCTGACATATAACTCTGGTTCAGAACTGAAAGCTAACAAAAACTGTGCCAAACCCAACCTTAACAATACCAGTTTAACAAACAAATAATAATAAGCAGGGTCCATGCACATTGTTTGGACATACAGTATATGCATTGCACTACTTTTAAATCATCGTGTGTAAAAAGGGTGTTTACACTGAGCAGTACGGTACAGTTCAGTTCGGAAAGCTGTTTTTCATTTCCACTGTGAAAAGTTGTGGATGGTACTAATGGAAACATTACGATCGTCCCCATTTTTGGTCACCCTTCTGTTGGGGTACCTAGCACACAGATCTGGTACTAAAAGGTGGAGTTGTGAACACTGCAGTCTGTTGGTCAATAGAGGAGGGTAACTCTGCTCAGGGCTGAGTTGTGGCTGGTTTTGAGGCTCATGTAACCACTGTTCATACTGTGGACAGTTTTATTAGTAGACTGTAACTATAAAAATGAAAGGACCCTCACTGCAGCCTGTTTTGTTTTGTTCTGAAAATGTCAGCATGCAGCCTCGTTATGTGGACGATAAACAAGGTGCAGACCTCCATCTGTGTCACCAGTGATGAGGAAATACAGTGAGTGCTCAACGAAGCAGTGAGTGACAACAACCCCACCCACATTTAGAGTACTGTTTGCGGTGGAAACGCTAGGGTCTAGGTACCATGTCTGAAGGGTTACTTTTGGTTCCGAAGGTACCACACTGAAAGTGTTTGGTGGAAACGGGGCTACAGAAAGCAGAGAGAAACAGGAGGATGCACCCACTAAGGTTCTTGAGCTGGACTCGAACTGGTAACCTTGCAGTCACAGAGTTTGTGTCTTAGACCCTGAGGCCTTCAAGACAATATATGTACATTCTGACCGCAATGGACACTAAACATTGACAGAGTTGTACATACAATAAAGTTATTCACTTTCACTGACTTCAAAGCAGTACTTTACTAATAATATGTAAAACTATGAATTATTGTTACGGTGGCTTTACGCCCAAGTCGACAGTAGAGAAACGACAGGAAGTCTTATAGCTGATTAGGAGCCAACCTGGACTCCAAACATTAACTTCTTTCTACATGAATTAAAGAAAAGAAGCATTCTACAGTGTTGTGAATCCTTATGAAATAAATACTTAAACAGGACATACTGTGTCATATTGGCCAGCCTCTCACGTGGCCTACCTGTTAGCAGAAACAGGACAGTGTAGTCTCTGTTGTTGGCAGCCTGGACTCTCTGCACAGTCAGATGGCTGTATTTGTGCTCAGCAGACACCATGGTCAGACTTCTTCCAACCGGTCGCACACTGTCATCTGCTAGAAAGTTTTCTTTGACGAAGCGCAGGGCGTTGTCAGATGCGTTGTGGAGGCCACACTAGCATACAAAAAGGCAATATGACAGTAACAGAAATTAAACACACTTTGATTAAATCATTTCAATATAGTACAACTTGGATTTGAATTTTTATGGTTCATCATTTGTAGTTTACGATCAGAATGTTCCATCGACTCTTTAGTAAGTGATACATTCATCGATTAGCTATCCAATCAGCACAAGCCTGGTGTGCACACAACTAGTAAGTACAGGAAGTCAAAGGTGAAGCAGGAAGTGGGTCTGTAAACTGTTAAAACAAACATTTTACTGTTTGCCCAAACTCTGTCTAACCTGGAGGTATGTTTCCAACTTGTCAGATTGTCTCACTCACTGACTTTAGTGATGTCCCCATGTTGCCAGTGGAGTTGCAATGATAAGTAGATTAATCAATTTGTTGACCAACAGAAAATTAATAGGTTCATCTCTGAGGATTGAATAATCGTTTCAGTAATTTTCTAGGCAAAATAGCCAAACATTTGCAGGTTGCATTCTGCTTGTATGTGAAAATTGAGGCCTTTCTTTATCATACGTAAAAATAAACTGAATAGCTTAACATTTTTTAAGTGTCGGTCAGATTAAACATACTATTTGAAGACGTCCCCTTGGGCTCTGGGAAATTACACAGGGCAGGTTTTACTATTTTTTTATATTTTATTGACAAAACGATTGAAAGATTCATTGAAAAACGAATGCGCAGATTAACTAATAACGAGAAAAATCATTAGCTGCAGCCCTAGTTTCCAGATCTCAGCTATTAACTTGATGAAAGAAGTGTTGTTATTGATAGAACAAAAGCATAATAATAAGTCCTGAGTTATAAGAAACTCGGGTCTTAGACAATTTAAATTGTTTCGCCATCTGAAACCTGAAACTTCCTGAAATAAATTGGAATATGAACACAGCCTGTTAGAGGTAAAGCCAGTTATATCTCCCTGTATGTCTTATAAATTCAAAGTCTTGACTTCATAAAAATGAGCAGTCTTATCCCAGCCTATCAATGTGTTTATATTTTTTTTGGCATGTGTATATTTTTGATTTGCACCTTCTATAATTTTATCGTGTATTTTGTTTCTATTTAAACTCATTATAATCGCACTCTTCCTACTTTGTACTGTAACTGCTGCATGACAAATTACCTCTGGTCAAATCAAGTTCCATCCTATTGTTCCATTTTCATACCAATTACAAGGGACCCTTTACCTCTCCTGGATTTGCGACCTTCTCTTGAACCCGTGTGCTCCACTGTAATGTGTCCCGGTTCAGGACTTTGTAGTTACCAGAGAAAACTGATTTAATGTCAGACAGGCGGAATGAACACACGACTGACCGTCCAGAGTTGACAGACCTAGTTAATAGGAAAAAAACAACAAAACATAAAAGACACAGTGAATATGAGCTACAGACAAAATACATGAGTAGATATATGTGTAGATAAATATGACAGCACAAGGTAAAAGCAGTATGAAGATTCCTGCTTCAGCTTGGCATACAGTATATATTAGGGATGTTGTTATACTAGTTTTTCCTTCCCTATACTGATTCCGATACCTGAACTTGCACATCTGCTGATCCAAGATACTGATTTGATGAAGTTATGGTAAATATAACTTCATCTTTTTAGGTGATGAACAATGACTAAAAGCTTTGCTGTGACATCCACTTTGGAAACCGTCACTTTAAAAATAAGACTCTGGCTTCATGTCAAGTAATTTGCTGTTTGGAAAAAACATTGCGAGAGGCATAAAAGTGATGCTGCGGGAAAAAAGGCCACCATAGCTTCAGAGAATGTAGATTAGGTACTGAATAGATCTTTGCCCTTTAACAAACTGACCACTGGGAGGTGAAGATGCCATAAAAAAGTGTGTCATCTGCAGAAGCGCCCTCTGCTGGTGGGAGGGTGTCTATGTCCTGGATCACATTGTAGGGCAGCTCATTGTCAGCCTGGCACAACAGCTGAGCTTTGGCAAACGTGGTCCAGCGTCGCTGCAAGGTCCGCTGACCTCCAATGTCACTCTGACACACAAAAGGAGAAGAGGGCATCAAGCACAAGACTAAATTCCAATTACGAGAACATTGGTGAATGCCACAAATTGTCTTAAATTGCTTGTATGTACCACTTGAGAAAAAATGTGGTTGTGGGAGTGCTTGTTGCATGAGGCACACCGTTTAACCCTTACCATGCAGATCTGAGAAACACGAGAAACAATAAATTTATCAATGAAGTCGTACTCTCTGCCCACTTCACTGAAGAAGAAGTAGATTTTCTCCTCATCAGGAATGAAACTGGAGCTGATGAAGGTTGGATCTATAGTAAACAGATGGCAAAGTGTGCTGAAGATGTAAGTTTGTGGAAATCACCATTCAAATAAAAGGATATGGTACAGCTTATCACTAGGTTTGTTTCAGGAACCCTTTGAGTCCATTAATGTGAAAGTGTCTTTTCCATGATTTCATAATCATTAAAACAATTCTATTCACAACTGCTAGGGCAGTTCATTTTGACAAACAACACACTCACCCTCCAGCCATCCTAATGTATCATCCAACTTCAGGTCAACACGCCTGCCCTCGCTGAGGTGCCGTGAAATGACTGGCCGGTTCCCCCTGTAGTCTGCAACTGTCCCGGTATAAAGCTCTCCATCTAAGAGACAGAACACAATACTTCAAAGCAATGCTGAATATGACAAATAAATAATAAGTCATGTCCCTTTAAAATCAATGATAATTAGTTTCCTAGCATGCAAACATAGAAAATTGTAAGTGCTACATTCTAAACAGACGGTCCAGCACTGCAGCTAAGAGGAGAAATATATGAAATGTCCCTTAAAGATTAGTTACAGCTACGACGCACAACTCTACATTTAATTTTCCCTTGCCAACATGAGAAATCAGTTTTCAATTTAATGACTCCTATTGTACTGATAATTAATAAATAATGATGAATCATTTAGATCAAGATAAAGTGTGGTAAAAAACTTTTTCTTTTTTTTTTTTACTAAGCAGGATCATAAGATTTCTCTTTGTGTTTTTTGTCACATACCATCTTCCACCCATCCCTTGATTGGTATCAAATAATGCCTCTAGTTCTATTTTCAGTTCCACACAGGTGCTGCATGTTTGGATTTAAGCAGCAGCCACATTTTTCTTTCACCCTGCTGCAGCTTACATTTTAGTCTAGCGGCTGTGGCAGCATTGCCTTACCCACCTACGATTATGGCAGTGTTGCGTTGGAAGGGGTCATAGGGGCAGCGACCTCTTCCTTCATCAGGCTTGAGGCTCATCGTTAACATCTCTGAGTTCTGGAAAGAAAGGAGGATAAAGTCCAGCTGACATCACACTAAATGATGAAACTCAAATCACATTAAATGCAACCTGCTGCTTTTAAAGAAAATCTGAGTATTACACACTGAGGGCCGAATTCACAGAGAATGAGCTATGGCCGCTGATAGCACCTTGAATTGCATGTCACTTGCACCCGCAGTTTGCTCCGTCTTAACGTCCTATTCACAAAGGATATTGCGCTAATGATATACCAGCGCAAACACGCCCACAAAGTTTGGCAGCTGAGTGCAGTTTGCCCCTGATTTGCCCCTGATTGCAATAAGCCACATGGCAAACTATAAATGCTGGCTTTGCGCCAAGAACACCGTGGCAGAACAATGGCAGACTTTGTTTGGCAAAGTACTGAATACTGTATACCCTCATGTAGTGATGTCTGCTGGTGAGTCAGTCTAACAGTGTCGGATGGGTTGAGGCTGTGGATTTGACCAAATTTGACCACTTTATCACTATTCCCTCTCACTTGTAGCTGTTTTTCGTTATCTTTTGAATTTAATATGAATTATGGAACTGTTTTTGTTCACGTTTGTTTCCCCCGTTCCGTAAAATAAATTATTGAAAGTTGCTTTTGAAGCGCGTGACAGAAGTGCATTTTGAGAATGACTGCAGACTGTCACCTGTTCAACGCATCGGTATCTTCGGATGCCATTAAAGTAATAATGATTATAATAATAATAATAATGTCAAAATATTATTTACAGACTGATTTAACAGACGATCACTGCGGCGAGAGGCTTCCACAGAGGAGCGCCCAGTTTGCACCAGCTTTCTAAAGACGTTATTTACTTCACTCAAACTGCGTGTGGCTATTAGCGCTGGTGTTAGTGAATTAGACGTTGTTTATCAATGAGGCTCATTTGCATAGAAAGGGGCAATTTTTGTGCAAAATATATGCATATTACCTTATTTCAATACGTGCAAATAACACCGGAGCACCGAGACACAATCTGCTTGGCAGCGCCGTTAGTGGAGCATTTCACCCTCTGTGCGTGCTTTGTGAATTAGACCGTATCTGTTTGCTCCATTTTTTACCGGTTTAGCGGCCGCAAAAGCCACGCAATCCTTTTGTGAATTCGGCCCTGAGCGTTATCATACTGTCACAATGTTGAGCAAACTGATAAGTTCAAACCTCTGTGCAAACAAACTTACAATGTATGTGCAGCGTGGACTGAAGGCAAATGTTCCACAGGCATAGATGTGGGTGGTGTTCAAGAACTGCAGTACACGGATAAAATTGGGACAGTCGGCCTAGGAAAAAAAACACAAAAAGGACAGCAAGTTAGACGTTTCAGTAAAACCAAAAAAGTACAGCGAGCAGTGTGTGCCTAAAGCAGAGCTTTCAGATTTTTACAGAACATCAAGATCTCTTGTCAAAGCAAGCTTCACCCACTGAGAGCTCCCACTAAATAAAACATTATGAGATGCTTTGCTCCTAAACATAAACATTCATTGTGTTTCTCCTGCTCATTAAAGGAAATGGAAACATTAGCTTCATGTTAATGATAGACTTGTCGTGTCTGGGTTGGTATGCTGAGTCAAGAGGAGACATTTTGAACTGTGGACTTTAATCAGCTCACAGTATTTGCACATCAGTACAAACCAACTACTTGCCATTTTTTTGCCTTTCATGGAACATTGTTGAAGGTCTTTCTCTGAGGGGCTCCAGTCCAGCTGAAAGAAGAGGAGAGCAGCTGAGATTCACATCCATCTCAACTTCAAGATGCAGCTGAACAATAAAATACATCAAACAAACTTTACATTTATTGTGCAGGGGTGGGGAAATCAATTCAGAGAAGATGGCAGCTAAACGTAGCGGGTATTAATTTTATTAATTCATTTTTGATACTGCTGTGAATTACACTGAGAGGGATGCTACCCACTTTATGTGTGCCTTACTGTTCTTAGGGCTGCACGATATACAAAATAAAAATCATATTGCGATTATTTTGACAGATATTCCGACTGCAATATGAGTTGTATTTTAGTGGGAACGGTAATTTTGCATTTTATTGTCACTGAAAACAAATACATATATAGCTAACAATGATGATGATGTGATTTATGCTGTGGTCTGTGCCAAACAAACGTGTTCCCTTACATCTGAAATATTATTTGTAGGCCAGGGCATCTCTGTAGTACCACAATGCCACACCTATGTCGTGCTATACCTTGCACGAGACTCTCGTCCATGAGTAGATGCCCGCTTCCTTCTACACAGTGATATGGTTAGTGGTTGTAGTTTGGTAGAAAGAAAATAGTTCCTATATGAAACTGCTCACAGCAAAGTCTATATATTACCTTCAGTAACCAGGTCGTGAATACTGGAAAGAGTCATTGCTGCTGAGTTTTTCCAATGTATTTTTTTGGTACTTCAAGCACCACAAGCTGAGTATCATCTCGTTCCATTATATTCCAGAGAATGCAGACATCTCTTTGGCTGATACCTCCAACACTGTGCAACTCACACCAAAACAATCTACATTGATAAACAGCTCTACAGGTACGAGTAAAATATGTATTTTTGATTTTGGGTTGAACTGTCCCTTTAACTATGATGATTCTCAATTTAGGTTGGGCCTGCAGCTCCATCAGCAGTCGCTCCCTCACCTTACTCCTCAGTACGATGGCGTCCCTCTGGCTAACATCCAGTGCTAACACAGCATCCCGGGCTCCAACATACAGCATGTCTCCATCCTCGCTGAGCAGCAGTGTAGTGGTGTTGCTGACATCATGGCTGCTGAAGCGGGTGAGATGTCTCCCAGGACTACCTGTTGTTTCACAGCAGTTAACACTGGGATTAGGCATTTTCATCCAATTACCAGAGACAATGAAAAGCATCCTGATGTATGCAGGCTGCAGTCCGCTAATTTCCATTCAACCAGATGTCAAACATAGTGACTGCCCTGAGCAGGGATTCAGGGAGAATGCCACCCCTTTTTATGCATAGTGCTATTGTCAGTGTAAAAATGACAAACCAAAATGCCCTGTCTACAACATAAAAAATTACCACAGCCTTTTATCATTTATAAAACTTTTAAATACTTTCGAGTTCACCAACAGCATAAAGGAAAACAATGTCTTTACTAACCTATAGGGAAGGAGACTCTGGGAGTCAGCCTAGTCAGACATGGGCTCAGAAAACCCAGCAAGGCCACGACGAAGGACAGCAGGCTGGGATTCTCCATTACAGCAGGAATCAGGGAGTCTGACCTTAATTACATTTAAGGTCAGAGGGCGAGCGGTAGGTCTGATGGTCATCCAGAGTGTTAAAGATTTGTTATAAGAGGTGGAGATCATAGCTGAGGCCACATAATCTGGTTTCTACAGCAGACCATCACTGCATCTGAGACAGAAACACAGACAGAGAGATCATCAGGTTGGTTATGCATTCTGTGCTCCACCACAGATTTCATTTACAAAGGATTTAGATTATTTTCAGATGGGACATTTTTGTAACAGCATTCCCTGGGTACGTTTCCATCATAACTGCATCAATTGCACAGTGGTGATCATAGTGAACACATTTGTACACCAACAACTTAATGCAACCTAAATCACATGTAATCCTACTTTTGTCTCTAAAATTCTGAGATGTCATTTATGTCGATAAAACTAAGCATTAAAGCCGATGTTTTCAGAGCATAAGTGTACTTTCCATGACAAAAACACAAAAATCTCAAGCTGTGAGCTTAAAGAACATCACAACATGCCTGGACGTAGGGGGGAGCAACAAAGAGAGTAAAAGCATAAGGATTTGTAGCAGACATGTTGAAGTCGTGGGACTTAATGTTTTTTAATGCTCCAAGTATATCTTGCTCGATGCTTATTTATTGTTGCCGCCTACGTGTGTTCTATCTGACACTAAGCGTGCTACAGAGGACTCTGTCCCAATTGTTAATGCAAATCAACAACAGGCAGACATGGACCCAAGCTGGGTGTGCATTAACCCTTCGGCTATCAGGATGCCCCCAAATGGATAAAACTTTCTATGTGTGTCAGTGTGGAGACTTTTCGGTCGCCTAATATATCGGTCCTACCTGTGCACTAACACTCTACACATAACTAAAAAGTTAAGCATGTTTCTTCCCATAAACTTTTGCTAACTGTCATTTGGAGTATGTGTTATGTTAGGGACTGTACTTTATTTATCAGAGGTGGGGTGGCTGAAGTGCAACTTCCTCTTTTTTTTCTCATTTTTTTATCTTGCCCATCCCCAAAGTTACAAATATTTTTCCTTGAGCCTCCCTGAGTGACTGGGGGGAAATGCATGACCTTCCCTCCATCATAAATAACTTTTTTAAATATATATTTACAACAAATGAAGGCAGTATTGGTGCCAGTGCAACAAGCAAACAGCAGGGGAGTCCAAGTATTCACAAAACAAACAGCTAATTTCTTAAGCAAAATGCAAATCATCCATAAAAGTTATGTATTGATGGACCGCCAGAAATTTGAAATTTTAAGAATAATTTTAATTTCTACAGTTTCTGGCTATGATTAATAGTGTGGTTTTTAGGATTTATAGAGACGGCATGCCTTTTAAACCCACCAGCAGGACTCTGGGTTTAAAGGCTATTCAAAATAAATACAAAATAAACCTTTTAAAGTTGTATGTCCATCCCCTAAGCCACAATAAAAAAAACACAAGTCCCTCCCCAGTGCTTAATTTTTTTTTTTTTTGACATGTCTCCCCCATTTTGCATCACCCCTTTCCAGCCCTTATAAATAACAAACAGTCCCTAAGCCAAAGCCATCAGTTGTGTATTAGACAACAAGTGTCCAATACTGATTTGTCCCTTAAAGTGTTTATATATACAGTACAGGCCAAAAGTTTGGACACACCTTCTCATTCAATGCGTTTTCTTTATTTTCATGACTATTTACATTGTAGATTCTCACTGAAGGCATCAAAACTATGAATGAACACATGTGGAGTTATGTACTTAACAAAAAAAGGTGAAATAACTGAAAACATGTTTTATATTCTAGTTTCTTCAAAATAGCCACCCTTTGCTCTGATTACTGCTTTGCACACTCTTGGCATTCTCTCCATGAGCTTCAAGAGGTAGTCACCTGAAATGGTTTTCCAACAGTCTTGAAGGAGTTCCCAGAGGTGTTTAGCACTTCTTGGCCCCTTTGCCTTCACTCTGCGGTCCAGCTCACCCCAAACCATCTCGACTGGGTTCAGGTCCGGTGACTGTGGAGGCCAGGTCATCTGCCGCAGCACTCCATCACTCTCCTTCTTGGTCAAATAGCCCTTACACAGCCTGGAGGTGTGTTTGGGGTCATTGTCCTGTTGAAAAATAAATGATCGTCCAACTAAACGCAAACCTGATGGGATGGCATGTTGCTGCAGGATACTGTGGTAGCCATGCTGGTTCAGTGTGCCTTCAATTTTGAATAAATCCCCAACAGTGTCACCAGCAAAACACCCCCACACCATCACACCTCCTCCTCCATGCTTCACAGTGGGAACCAGGCATGTGGAATCCATCCGTTCACCTTTTCTGCGTCTCACAAAGACACGGCGGTTGGAACCAAAGATCTCAAATTTGGACTCATCAGACCAAAGCGCAGATTTCCACTGGTCTAATGTCCATTCCTTGTGTTTCTTGGCCCAAACAAATCTCTTCTGCTTGTTGCCTCTCCTTAGCAGTGGTTTCCTAGCAGCTATCTGACCATGAAGGCCTGATTGGCGCAGTCTCCTCTTAACAGTTGTTGTAGAGATGGGTCTGCTGCTAGAACTCTGTGTGGCATTCATCTGGTCTCTGATCTGAGCTGCTGTTAACTTGCCATTTCTGAGGCTGGTGACTCGGATGAACTTATCCTCAGAAGCAGAGGTGACTCTTGGTCTTCCTTTCCTGGGTCGGTCCTCATGTGTGCCAGTTTCGTTGTAGCGCTTGATGGTTTTTGCGACTCCACTTGGGGACACATTTAAAGTTTTTGCAATTTTCCGGACTGACCGACCTTCATTTCTTAAAGTAATGATGGCCACTCGTTTTTCTTTAGTTAGCTGATTGGTTCTTGCCATAATATGAATTTTAACAGTTGTCCAATAGGGCTGTCGGCTGTGTATTAACCTGACTTCTGCACAACACAACTGATGGTCCCAACCCCATTGATAAAGCAAGAAATTCCACTAATTAACCCTGATAAGGCACACCTGTGAAGTGGAAACCATTTCAGGTGACTACCTCTTGAAGCTCATCGAGAGAATGCCAAGAGTGTGCAAAGCAGATATCAGAGCAAAGGGTGGCTATTTTGAAGAAACTAGAATATAAAACATGTTTTCAGTTATTTCACCTTTTTTTGTTAAGTACATAACTCCACGTGTTCATTCATAGTTTTGATGCCTTCAGTGAGAATCTACAATGTAAATAGTCATGAAAATAAAGAAAACGCATTGAATGAGAAGGTGTGTCCAAACTTTTGGCCTGTACTGTACATATATTTACTTAATTAGTTAGTTAGTTAATGCAATACTTTGGACCTCTTGTAATTGTTAAAAAATGCCAATATATAAGCTGTCATGACAATTTGTGCCTGAGGAAGGCAAGATCCAAATGGATTAAGGTAAACTGTACCATTGTTGACTACAGGGTGCTTTTTAAGACCTTTTCAGGACCTTTTCTAACCAAATTAAGAATTATTTATGGACAAATCCTCTTTTTCTTATTCAACCATTGCATGCAGGTATAAATATAAGTCCGGTGCAGAGGTAGGTTATATGTAGGATTACGGTTATTGGAGTAAACTGGGTTAATCTACATTTTGCAAACAGGTAAGTACAAGTATGCAGTAAAAAGACACTATTAGGTTCAGTGGAAGGTTTAAAGATTTGTGACATCAGAAATGTGGACTTTCACACAAAATTGAGCTTAACACATTTAGAGCTGCAACTAATTATTTTCTCCATTAATAAATAAAGAGTTAATAAGTCAATAAAATGTCAGCAAACAGTGAAACAAACCCAATGTTGCATATTGAAACGGCATGTTTTATCTGACCAGCTGTCCAAAAATTACCCAGCCTGCTGATGTAGGCTGCTGACATGTGCCACTTGCAGATACAGTACTCACTGACATGTTTAAACTGCTGACCTCTTCTTCTGGTGGTCATATAAATGCCACACATCAACAACACGTGCATGCATGTTCTGACAGACATCAGCTCCTACAGGTACCATTTCGCCATGTTTTGCCCACACTGCTGGGATTCATTAGGGGGGAAATACTTGAAACGCCTTTCAGTATGATGTATTGAGTAAATCACTGCTGACTAAAAACAAATAAGCAACAAAAAACAAAGAAGCAACAAACATGGTTACGTTCACATATGTGTGTGTTGTCTGTGTTATTCATCTTAGCTTTGTTGTCTTTGTTTGGCTGCATGTCACTGATCTGTTGCAGCAGTGTGTTTGAGGCACACTGCGTGCACACAATGTTGGGAAAGATTACTGCGCAGCAAACATTAGCTGCACAGCTGTTTCCTTTCGGCTAAAACACAGAGGCAGTTAACAGTTAACTGTGAACTAAACACGTGGTAAGTTCAGCTCCACAGTCAAATCCTGCTGTAACAGTGTTACAACCAACGCGTTAACATGCAGTATTAAAGAGACGTGCTGTGGTGGTTTATGTGCTGTAACTTACTGTTGCTTCATCTTGATGGAGCCTGTGCTCAGATGGAGTCGCATTTCTTATCTGTGCAACAGGACGCTGTAACACTAAAGCCAGCCGTCATTTTAGTAAATCTTAGAGACAAACAGCACTCATCCAGCTGATATAGAGTTAAAGTGATCTTACATCTCTGCGGCTGGTTTCCTCCACCGATTCGTTTCCTCTCTGTTTTAACGCTCGTTAAGAAAATCCGCAGTTTTCTGTCTTTGCACCGGTGGAAACTGGACAGAAGAAACGTGACCCGGTGAGGAAAACGCTGACCGCGGTTGAGCCTTTACTATAACAACAAAGCCTCAGAGCCTCCTCCCATCTGAAGGTCCAGCAGGCTCCAGCCTCCACCTACAGGGCGCCCACACACATTACAGCCAGATAAACACATAGGACAGGAGATCCATCCACATACAGCACGGTAGGAGCGGGAAGAGGAGCCACGATATGATGTTATCACGATACTTAAGTCATGATACAATATTATTGCAATAAAATATGAGGCGATATGTTACCTTTTTTCAACTGTAAATTATGTCCCCAAATGAAAACTTTCTCTACATCTGTTTTATCTAATAAGTTTTCATGCCACTTTCTTTGCAGCACCAAAATGTATAGTGGACTGAAAAAGTGATTGATTATATTTGTCGGTGAAGATTCTCAGTCATCCAGGTCATGGTAATCGTAAGTGCTATATCGTAGGCAACTGGACTTACTTGCACTTCTTGAAGCGGTTTCACGGGTCACGTGACCACTACAACTCTGCAAGGGTTCTCACCCACACAGGGTTCATAGCCTTCAACTTCGTACCAGTCATTTAGAACTGAAGAAGCTTCTTGGATGAGAAGCGAAATGTCCTCAAGAAACGCAAGCAAGTCCAGTTGCCTATGATATAGCACTTACGATTGATTATATTAGTCTAATAGGCTACCTAAAGTTTAATTTATATCTGTCGTATTAATAATTTCTATAATAGGCCTATCATTCGATATGTAGCACCGTGTCATGATATGATATTGCTACAGAAAAGTATTGCGATACTATGCTGTATTGATTTTTTAAAGCCCTACAGCAAAGCACATAGATCAGGGGTGTCCAAACCTTTTTTGAATGGGGGCCAGATTAAATAAGGTGGGAAAAAAACCTGAGTAATGTGAGCTGCTTCTCACATTATATGGCTTATTTAAAAAAAAACAAACAAATTATACAAATGCAACTGTTTTGTTTTCCATTGTAAAAGTTGAATACTTTACTCTGCTCCTGAAAGCAGTGGCTGTCACCGTCGACTTTACGCTTTTTTCTTTGATACTTGTTTATCGTCTCCTTTTGAAAGCACACTAGTTTTGCCCCTTTAGTTCCTACTTGATGCTTGTCTATGAACTGTATGATAGTCCTGCCATGAGTGGGAAAAATGGAAAAAATGCGAAGTGTTTTTGATTTATTAACCAATATTGTGTGGTGGGCCACAGATAGTATATTTTCAAATCCAATTTTAGGCTGTTTTAAGTCTGTCTGAGGGCCGTGATTTGCTCCCAGGCTGGACTTTGGACATGCCTAACATTTACGTCTTCTACTGCTCACAGTGCAAAGTGATTCAAGCAGTTAATGTTTTTTTATTTTTACTTACTGTTGTTTCATTGCTGCACTTGTCCCCTCTTTGACCACAATTAGTCATAAGTATTGATTGGAAAGCATAGATTTTCCTTAGGTCAACTGTCATTTATTTCATGTTATCAACATGAAGAGACATGAGGTCAACAACAGGGCTGGTATCAAGCCTTTCTCAGGCCACCAAGAGCAATCTGTTTAGCCCCCCTCAGTGTATTAAAGGTCCAGTGTGCAGGATTAAGGGGCATCTGTTGGTAGAAATGGTATATAATCTTCATACCTGTTTCATTAGTTTATAATCACCTGAAAATAAGTTTTTATTACCTTAGAATGAAATGTTAGTATCTACATGACTTAGGAAACCCTTCATCAGAGAATTAAATGACTACAGGCCCATTGCCCTGATGTCTATGGTCATAGGTCACAGACTGGTGTTGGCTCTCCTGAGAGGAAATCACAGGCTGGACCCACTTACAGTTTGGGATTTGTGATCTCTCCACTGCTCCTCTCCTTCTACGCCACAACTGCACCTAAGAAGACTGTTTAACTCCTTAAATTTGCAACACAACAGACATCTGCCTAATCTGGGACAGTGACAAGTATGCATATAGACAGGAGCTTAAACAGCTGGCCCTCTGGTGCAGTCACAACAACCTGGAGCTCAGTTCACAACTGCCCCTATTACGCTACTGAACCACTCTGTGTCGGCTGGGACCCATGTCTCCCAGGACATACAGTGGGCATCCAACATTAACTCCATCAGGATTAAGGTCCAGCAGAAGCTGTACTTCCTGCACCGGCTCAGGATGTTCAACCTGCCTCAGAAGCTGCTGATTCACGTTTACATTGAGACTACTCAGTCTGTTCTCTGCACATCCATCACTGTCAACAGACTGCAGTGGACAGTCAGGACTACAGAAATAATCACAGTTGCTCTTGGACCTTTTCTCCTGTTTTCACTTTCCTTATCAGCCCTGCAGTTACTGCTCAATTCATACAGCCCAGCTCCATTCACTGCTAGACCATCAAAGTTGCCAAGTGCTTCTTGCCTTTTCCTTGTAACTTCTGCTTTCTGCTATCTGTTACCTGGAATCTTTAATTTGTCACCTGCCTGTGTTGAACCTCTGCCTGGTTTCCCTGCCTGGCCCTTTGGATTTGTTTGCCTGTTTTGACTGCCTTCTCAGTTTGGCCCTTTGCCTGCCTCATGATGCCAGTAAACCCATACGGCTTCACCGAATCACTAGTCATCCCGTCTGCCTGATTTGTCAGCGTTTGGGTCCAGTCCCTCTTTCCTGTATTCAGCAAGTTGTGACAGAAAGATACTGTCCCATTCCATTATGGGTGTATCATGTTTTTGGAGCTAGAGCCATACTAGGGACTGTAAGTCTCTCAATATCTCAGTCTCTGCTGCACAGCGTTTGACTATTCTGTAGCATATCTGTGATATATCTTTTGCAAGTCCACCAACTTTATGGAGCTGCAATACTAAATGGTGAAATACTCCTTTGACAAGCATGGTGACAGTAGAAGTCCAGTTGTGATTGCCCATATGTATTATCAAAAAACCTGCAGTTTTATTCTAGATTTTATCTCTTCAACCCCACAAACGTAACAATGGTCCTTTTTCATTTTGAGTGGATACAAACATAGCCTGACATCACCTGACCAAATCCCAAATGCAAGTTAGTCTGGAACCTCTCAGTTCAGTTTTGGTTTCCACGCTGTAGGCCAAAAAAGCCTCTGAACACAATTGAATAGATCTACAACCAATCAGTGCAACATAATACGACGTAGCACTGAACAACAGAAAAAATGTAAAAAAGACTACAGAGATGGGCTGTAATGGTGTAGCATCAATATGTCTACTAACAAGTATATCTATTTTTGCCATCAGAACTTGAAGATAAAGGGTGTTTTTACTCACTCGACTAAAATACCTGAAACAACAGGAATCTTCGAAAGTTCCTCAATGGCGCTTCTCTTTACAGTCATTGTCTCAAACACTCTCCGTATTAGATTAACGGTTGTGATTGGCTCGTCACATCTCAAGTTGCTGGAAATCTGTCCAAAGCGGGGGCGGACCAGACGCATCTGCCAGAGCTAATAAAACACAAGCTCACAGATTCGTATGCTTCCCAGGCAAACACAAACCCACAGTCACACAATTTCAACATATATCCTACATCAGCTGACCAACACATCTGAAACATTTCTATTTGATTGAATTTGTCACTCACTAAAAACAGCTGCAATAAGATATTGCTACAATATAGTATGCAAAACTATCATACAGCAAGGAAAGTCTTTTTAAAGAGAGAAAGGTAGTAAACCAACATCTTAAGCCAGAAATCTGTGCATCTACCTGTTTGGTATCCGTCCTGATGTTTTGCTGAAGAATCTTCTGATGTTCGGCTTCACAATCTCCACCAGGTTATCTCATCTGCACAGACTCCTTCACTTATAAAAATGCTATTGCTGCATCATTGGTCAAACCATACTGCACACTACATGCACAACAACTTTATGCACAGTGAGGATTTTGCTCGTTGAGACGGTCCATTTTTGGCTCTTCTTAAAGCCACTGCTATTTATTCTCCATCCAGCTTTAGCTTCCAGTTCCACTGTTGATCAAAATGTCTGTTTTACCTGTCATGTCACACCATTACAGATTAGTATAAAGCAGTAATTCCAGTACCAAATTTAGGTTTTAACTATAGCGTGTAAAATTAGACTACAGAATTAGTCATAGGTAGGTTTCATTATGAGTGCAGTGGAGAAAGGGCGGGTAAGATGGCTAATGAGGAGAAAAGAAGATTGGAGAGGATTAGCAGTGACCTGGAAACAGCCATGTGGTAACAGGCTGTACGCCTCCCAGCGTCAAACATGAAGCTGCTGGCACACAGGTTGCTGTTGAGCAATGAGCATGTCATAAGACAAGGAAAACATGGCAGTGGCATTTTCAGAGGGTGATGTTATGAAGCTCTGAGGGCAGCAGATGTTGAAGTAAGGGTGACTGGCCAATCTTGGTCTGACTGCAAGCATTTAGAGGCAATTCAGTGAGTGCAACCACTACCTAATAAATGTGTCTGGGTGTTCACAGTACTTGATAGAATACTTCAACCTCCAGATGACCATTTGTATATCAATTTCTCACCCCATGTTATGTTGAATTTGTGAGGAAAAATTAGTTTTTCTCAGTGCCTCTGGTAAACAAAGAATCCAAAAAATTAATTAAGAATTCTTGATCAATTGGAGTCATAGTCATCAGTCTAGTTTTTGGTGTTTGACATTCTCCCATTAACAACACTTATTGACTTCTTGCTTCTTGCTTCTTCCCTGCATGTTTTGTATGCCCCCTGGTGTTTCAGAGAATACTGCAAATCTTTGGGTGCTTGTAGCTCATGTCATGGCCATCTGTAGAAGCCCATGCCATGGCGTCTTGTGCAGGCACAATCAAAGCTAAAGCCTCCTGGGGATGTAATTGAGAACTGTTCATGCCCATGGATTTCGAAAGAACAACAGCAAATGAGGAAACAGACCTCTAGAGGTTAAAATTGGGGAAGGAGGATGTTGACTGTGAAACCCCTGGGTGGATGAGATGGGATGTGTTCATTTAATGTGTGAGTGTGGGCTTGGGGTTGTCTTTGCTGGCTTTTGATGTTTCCACAGTTCTTGTTGTACAGTCTGTATTCTGCAGTGTGCACTGTACCTCATGGTCAGTAGGGTCCAAAAAGTTAACTTGTGCCCAGAGTACCCTCTTGGTTGAATCTCATCCCGTATAGAGAATCTTCTTCATCTTATTATAAAAGAGGTTTTTCCTTTAAGGGATGTGGGAAAGAAAGCCCTGGAACTAATTTTCACTGCACCAGCTCGGTCCTGGACACACCTTAGATACTGTAAGGACTTTCCAACAATGAAAATTTGCAGCCCATGTTTTTTGAGTGTTGTCATAATACTCTTAAATGGATATGTATGAAACATGTGCAGTCTAATACAGTCAAAAGGTCCTGCAAGTTCTGCCATCACAAAGCTTATATTCATTCTTTGTTGATGCTATCAGATAAGTCTTAAATTCTATGGACGTCTGACCAGGAGTAAGTCACAGATGTGCAAGTCACAAGCAAATCTTACGCAAGCAAGTCCACAGTGACTGTGCTGAAAATACAGCAAGTTAAGTTGAGTCTCAGTTGTAAGTCAAGTAAGACAAGTCAAGTTATTGCTTAGTTTAAGCAAGTCACATATCAAGTCATATGAAATTCTGACGACGAAAGTGTTGCTGTTTAGGGTGAGCTTTCTAGCTAATGTTCAACTATCCAATAAGCTAATAAGATAGCTAAAAAGACACAATCACACACCTTTCTTTGTGGGTTTTATAATGACAGATGAGGTTGGATGTTTTGGTGGTCATGTCACTGATTTTTTGGGTTGCAGACCTTGTGACTTGTGTGCTGCTGTTCTCTTACTACTGCCATCACCAACAACATAACCCTTGAATCCACATTGTATTATTTTTTGACAAGCTGCATACATGATGGCTGCCTTGTGCGTTGGCCTCTGTTCATCTGCCACGTCCTAGGAGGTTGCCAGGCTTGCTCGTATTGTACTAGAAACTACCCAATCATACTTCAAAACAGGAAGTCAATATTTAGAAAAACACAAATATTTAATTTAAAAAAGTCAAGCCCTTTCGAGTCATGTGTCTCAAGTCTAAGTCTCAAATCATGAATACCAAGTGAAAGTCGAGTCTTTTGTCACTGTTAGTCAAACAAGTCTAACGTCCCCAAATTTGCAACTCAGGTCACATCAAGTGACTCAAGTCTCCCACCTCTGGTTTGAGGTAAGTGTCTGTCCATTTTACTGTATTACATACTGTATGTTTAATTTAATTAGACTTTCAAATGTACCTAGTAAACAATTTAGTCAGTGTGGCTTTGCCGCTCTGCAACTTGGAGCACTGTGATAGATCTGTCATTTTAATATTCCGTGACACATTTGCACCTAAAACACTTGGATGTGTGCGTACCTTTCTGTAATATTCAGTCAAACTGTGGACAACAATAATTCACAGTCCAAACAGAAAGAAAGCATGCTAATCTACATGTTTTACACATGAACCTAAAGTGGAGCAGTTAGACTAAGATGTTCACAGCCTGCAGTTCTGTAATGTTTAACCGATGAACTGTGCAGTCATAAACGTTATTTAGTCATTTTCTTTCTTATCTAACCAAATGTGGATTGAGATATGACATGAAACTCCTGCCCGGTGACTTCACAATGATCTTCACTTCACCAGAGAAACCATGTTGAAACCTTGTGGATTTTGTGTTGTTATCGTTCAGCTGTCTTTGACAGCAGGAATGAATGCTGGTAAGAACATTACACTTCTTTAAAAAGACACTAAAATAAGCTTTAGTTTAAAACAGACACAAATGCTCCTGTTTAGTCTTTTCTTATATGTGGCATTTTAGAGAAGGCTGTAGAAAAACCATGTGAGTCACATTTATGCTGCCAATATATCAAAGTTGCAGGCAGAAAATGTTGGCATTGTGCATTTCTGCAAACTATAGATACGTAACAGTTATGTTGCGTATGTAGCACATGAATATGAGCTGAATTTTCATTGGGAGGTGAAGGGGATGGTGGCTGGTGTGAAACCTAGGTAAGACTGCTCCTAAGCAGCAAACTACTGTAGAGCATTTTTTGAGATCAACAAACAACAACCCTGAGTGTTTTTCTACCAAGACACTGGGGACTTTCCAGCTGCAATTGTGGCATCAAAACTGGGTGTTTTTTTTAAGTGAGACATTAAGGCATTTCCATTGGTGGTTGTGATGACAAAACGGAGTACTTTAAGCCAAAACATGATCTTTCCCTAACTCTAACCAAGTGGTTTGTGTGCCTAAACATAACCACATGTGAACCACAGCATTGTTGAAATGTAGGGTTTCAACATATCTGCTCTATACGAAACAAACAAATGTTACATATCTGCGGGTTGCAGAAACATACAACTGCTAACATTTATTCTGGTGAGTAGGTTGCATATGCATACTAAGTGAGCTAAAGACTTAATCATATTCAGGCAGATGTGATGGTTACTGTGACCATCTGACAAGCAGCATTTTACACTAACTGCATGAAAACCAGTGGAGTGTCAGATAATGGCTGTCATCTATTAAGTTTGCATGTCATTACAGATTGGAGTGTTCAGAGGACTCCATTCAGCTCTGATGTAGGAAACAGGTGAGACACCACATGATGCAACAGACCGCTGCTTTTATGGGATAAACCTGACATGACTATGCAAATTATATCTCAAAGGAAACAGCTGTAATATGCAACATTGCAATAATGCATTTTTTTCTGCAAAATTGTCAACACTAACACAACTCAAACAGAGTAAAGATAAGTAGCACCAATTTCTATCAGTCACCTCTGACAAGTCAAATCAGGCACATCTCAGGACCCTGTCCTATGTGTGTTGCTTAACTGTTCCAGAGTAATATAATGTTAGCCACTCCAGACTAAAATATCTCACCAACTATTGGATGAATTGCCATGGCATTTGGTACATTCCCCCACAGCATAATGTAAAAGCTTAAGTAATCCTCTGACTTGTTATTGCCATTATCAGGTCAAAATTTGTCCAGTATTTTGGAAAATGTAATAGTAGGATGGACGCTTATAAACATAAACTGCTTAACATTTAGCATGTTAGCATTGCCATTTGGAGCATGTTAGCATTTAGCTCAAAGTGCTACTGTATCAAAGCACAGTCTGAGAGAGGTGCTAACATGGCTGTAGTGTCTAAGGGGGGAGGAGAAGCCATGATGGGTCCTGTAAGAGGCTCCTTTTTACACTGTACATTTTACATACAATTTATCCTACTATAGCCTATATTCTATTTACTGTGTACAAAGAAAACTGTCAACTGGCAACAAATAACAGCACTCAGTGTTAAAATCTACAATGGGCTGCCAACTTTTTAATTTAGTTTGGAGCAAGATTCTGTATTGCTGAATTCAGTGCATTTTATGAATAGGCCTTTTGTCGGGGTCGGGGTCATCACAAGCATTTACAGACGAAAAGTTTAGTCAGTAATCCTGGTCGATGATGAATAAGTATGGTTGATCAGCATACTTTCCAACCTCCAGACATCATAGCCTAAATTAGAAGACCAAACCAGCGTATCTGTGGATCTTCCCCTAGGAAACTGTCTATTCCCTGCATTCTAGTAAATTTATGGAGTCATGTTGTTGTTACAGTGTGAAGAAAGGCAGACAGGGGTAAGGTGGCATTAAAAGACAGGACAGTCAGTCATCAAGTAACTACACCTATAGTAGCACTGTATGAAAAGTAAATGAAGGAGAATAACACTGTTCAGAGACAGCAGGTACTGCAGAATCATTTTGTTTTTGTTTTTTTCAGACAACAAACTAAATTTGATTAAACAAGAAAGCCAGCCGAGTGATAGAAGAAAGGGGAAAACCTTTTAGCTGAATTATTTGTAATGGTTTTCTTATTGATTATTTCAGAAGTGTTTTCAAACTAATAAGACTTGAGGTAATTCATCTTCTGACACATTAGCAGCTAAATTAAGTTATTAACCAAAAGTTATGTCTGATAAATAAGTGCTAAGATAAAAATCAATAATGCTTTCATTAGATGATGGGCTGTGTAGCATATCTGCTAGACTTTAACTAGCCTAAATGGCTGTTTAGATGTCAGTAGACATCAGATCCACGCAAGATCATTATTGTCCTTAAAAGGTGTATGCAGAGACTATCAGCGCACTGAGTGTTTCTTCTCCTTCTGACATTGGACAGTCAACCCATTATATGAAGATACTACATAATGCATTTGCATTACATAGTTTTTTAAGTGTTGCTGTTGTCTGTCTGTCAGCCTTTTGGATGTTATCAGTTATGAATTTGTTTTACCCTGCCTGACAAAATGGAACTGTGGCCTGAGAGCGTGAAAAGCATCAATTGTGTGATTCTTATAGTCAATGCCTTACAGTCCTGGTGTACAAACTCTCATCGGCACATTTGACTCCAAAAGACTGTAACTGAAAGGTCAACACAATAACACCTAAAGAATGTTCTTATCAAAGAGCATGCTACAATTCTTCCTATTTTTTTTTCAAGTGAAACACTGTTATATTCAGGCAACGGCAACATTTAATCCACTGGCTCATTATTTACCAATCACCTATCTATTTCCAGGGCATATCTTCATCCTGGAGATGCTGGAAAGTGGCCATCTGATCCTTACAGAGACACCAAGCCCAAACTAATTACTGGAATCAATAAACGTGTGGATATGTGGCAGGCAGAATGTTTGATATTCAGCTGTAATGACACATTTGAGACAGAAATGATGTCTAACCAACAACATATGACGGATAGGGAAGGAGGTGATACTATAAACAGCCACCAGACTATAGTTATCATGGAAGAGGACCCAGCAGTGATTGAGGCAGCCACTAACCTCTTTGAGAAGCATCTCACTCTATCAACTTTGTTCAGGTACCACAAGGGGGTGCTACATATTCTCAGGGGAAGTCGTGTCTTTTCTACTAGAAATCATGATGTCATACTGGTCGGCCATGGTAGTAATGGTTCCAATGGAACAGGTCAGTTAGCTAGTTATGGCCCAGAGGAACTTGCCAGATTTCTGTCAAGCCTAAAAACTGAAGGCGTCTTTGGTCATCTTGGCAAAATCACCCTCATCGGCTGCAACCTTGGAAAGTATCAGCACTTTGTGTTACAGTTGCTACAAAATCTCCGGTCTCTCAGAGTGGAAACAAAGCTACACCTACACAAGTCCTTCCTGTCTGTTAGTTCTGGCGGAGAGATAATGACTAGGACTGACGGAGTCTGGAGGTCCCATGACCACAGAGGAAGAGTCACTGCTGAGCTGGACCAAAGAGGAGGCCTGCTTACGAAAGTGGAACTTGGCTGTGCCGGGCCGGTAATTTCTGATTATAAAGGAAACGTTTTATATCTCCAGACACTGGAGTGGCCAAGCCAACCTCAAATGTTTGTTCCAGTGGAGTTGCGCAAGAAGTACCCTTCCATTGATTGCCTGGAGGGGCTTACTTGGAGCTTGTTCTATGAGGAGAATGAAAGAAGGCGTGCTCCCGATTATGTCTCAGACAAAAGACTCTTGACAGCAATTTGGCTTACAGAGCCAGGACCAGAAGAGGACAACATTGTCTTCAAGCATATCACTAACATTCAGGATCTGCTTGTAGAGATACGATACAATGCCAAAGAGGAAGTTGGATCAGACCTTTACTATGTTCTCAATGAATGCATTTACAAAGTACATGGGAAAAATCTAAGTGTGAGTCTGGTGGGCAAGTTCATGAGTCCTAGTAATCAAGCTGAAGTAGAAAATTTCCGTCAGAACTTCAGAGACCAGCAGGGTGAGTCCTCCCTGCAGGAGCTGAGACAGGATCTCAAAGCATCCAAATTCAATGACTTCTGTCGCCAGACTTTCCAGTACCAGCAGTGTAACTACAACTGTGAGAGATGGGGTCGTTACTTTATGGCTGCGGTATTTTCCGCGTCTGTTTATAACTTCAGAACCTTCTCGCTTTTCCTCATGAGTGTCATAGGTTGTGAAGTAGGCCGCTCACGAGGGACTGACGGCCCCCTGTGCACAGCGTTTGTTGGAGCTGACCATCCCATGATGACTGAACAACCCTGGCCTGAGCATCTGCGACGAGGATTCTACGGCTGCACTGTTGACAACTATGAAATGGCACCGAAGGACAGACAGATTTGGTTGGATGAAGTTGTTGCAAAGGAAAATGCCCTGTACATCAAATCGAAGCAAATAATGAATGCTGTTGACCATGATGAGCAAACAGAGCTGGACATCTTCGGGAAGGTCAAAGTCATGAATAGGTATGTGTTCTCATCTTATCTAGAATTCTTTCGAGGTACACCTGAGGGAAGGAAACTCAAGAGAGGATGCACTCCCTCTTTCCATGAGAACTTAAATCCATAATGGTGGCATAATATGTGATTAGAGTTCATCTCATTTGTGTATTCATTGCATAGCTGGTGATAGTATTCTTCTTAGCAGAAGGGTCTGACACATGTTGTATTCTGCCTGATACTGATATGATACTGCTATAAAGTGCTGCATAATCTACTGCTTCAGCTTGTTGGCTCGACTATGTATTTGATTAATTGGCTAGAAGAATAGGAACGATCCAGATAATGTACTAAATTAAAGCAATAAAACAAAACTGTTACAGCAGATCTGTCACATTTTAAACTATTTTTTCTCAAGAAATCAATAAATGATTAAACAATAATTTACTGAAGTTCTGGTGGTTTCTTTGTATGTTTATTACATCATGTTTCTTATGGTGTCACACAGGCCAGAATACAGAGAATTACAAAATATAAATACATAGAAAATGCAGGTTCGCAGAGGGTAAAGCATTACAGGTAGAAACTTATAATGGGACTATAAAGTACACAATTCGTGTTTTATCAAATGATTGCAAAGTCAAACATAAAGACAGAAATAACCCAAACTACACTTTAGCATTCTGTTGCTGACACGTGAATTCAAATTGAGATGATTACTGCCACATTTTTAAAGATCCAGACGTTGCTTACACTTGTAATGGCTGTAAACTGTCAACACAATAACACATACTGTGAATTGGAGTCAGCACAAAATAAGAAATTCTATATGTTTCAAAGCTTCTGAAAGTTAAACTCATTTTTCCTCAGTGTTTCTGAGGATCAACTCTGATGATACATGCTCTCATACTGATGTTTTCAAATGGTACTCATGAGTTAGCATTTTTGTCATGTGAAGTTGGCTACACTATATTACAGTATAGGAACTATATTCTTAGCATTTATGTAGTTAACTAGTGAGATGACCATAAGAACAAGCCCTTGTTCCCTTTTATAAAATAGTGAATAATGCTGTCTCTTATCCAGAAGGCCATGCTTCCATTTGATACTATTTTCACAACTGTCACCCCTCCGCTTTGACCTAGTAGGAAATATCCTTATGAAGTTTTGAATACCACAGCAGAGGGCCATTCATCCTCCTATTATCAGTGAAGTAAACATAAGTGGTTTGAAGGCACCACAAATCAATATTATACATGGAATAAAAATTGGAGCACATAAAGGAAAGTGACTATGGTAATGGCTATGACTGTGATAATGCCCAGTGCCTTTTGCACCGATAAAATTCAAAATGAGTACTAGTGCCTCTGCTTGTTGGATCACCTAATAGTGTCTGAAGGGTATAACATGCATCGTACTAATACTTTTATTTGTACAACCTCTGAAAGCAGAAGCATTAACAGCTGTTTTAAATGTCCCCACTTAGAAGCCTGCCAAGACAGAAAGTTGATGAAGCCGGGTTTCGACGCTGTTAGACAATCCAACAGGCACTGCTTTCGGAACAAACTGACACCTTTATATTGATGACACATTGTACGACTCTGTACATTTCAAACATACTGAAGCCTTTAGAGAGTAAATTTTGAATGCTGAAGCTGTGCATTTGTTTAGCTCCACCTCTACTCCCCAAATCTCCTCCCAGCTCATAGGTGATGTTTTAAACTCTGCCATGAATCAATCTTGAGTGTAATCTGGGAAGACATTTTGGGATGTGTGTTTTTCTTTTACTAATACAACACAGAAGGACCACTAACATTCTGTGGCTAATAACATGCTAGACAAAATCAGATTGTCCTGTCAGGAACCTGAGCCAATATCAACATGTGCAATATGTAAAATAAAATAACATACTGCATGTACTTAACTCATGATCACCAAATGGCTACGAATCGGTTACCTTTTACTCAGTGTGAGGTTGAGTAGATGATTTCATTGTAAGATAGTTAAAAAATAGCACAAAGTAATGACAGCACAAGGCACAATGAAATGAAAGCTAGATTGAATTTGAACTTAAAATGGTGCAAAGGATTCTGGGCAGTTTACTGGCAGAAGCGGGATGTAGAAAACTGTCTAATAAGAGATCACAGCATTTAAAAAATGTAAAATTTTAGTCAGAAATGTTGGGAACTGCCAACTGTGTGCAGAGTAGACTTTGTACCTTTGTATTCTGTCCGACACCTGATTATGAGAGTGATGTGCATATGGTTACTCTGTTAAGTGAAACTCCAGGGTGGAAACAGGGTGGAGCTGATGTGTTGGGCTGAGGGCTTGCTCTTCACAGGAGGATGCAGCTGCATGAGGAGCCCCCAAACTGGTCTTTGAGGAGGCCATGCTGACTGGTGGCTACTTGCTGGATTAAGCTCCAGAAATGCTTGAAAGAGATGCCCTCGCCCTCACCTACGCCCATCTTCGACAGGATGTCACCAAGTCCCTGGTCTGAGCCAAACTGTTTTGTAATAAGGAGCAAAGAAAAAAAAGTGAGAAATGATTTGTGTGTTCAGTGAGAAAGTGAAGGTGCTGGCCTCTGAGAAAAAACTCACTTTAAAGGATCACTCTGGGTCTAACACTGTATTCATCAAAGTTGTGAAGAAATACTTAATCCATTACATTTAAATACAATCAAGAAATAAATAGATAATATATCAGAGTCAGCCTAAAAAAAACACTGTGTGTAATTTATGTGTACTTGTGGAATGGACACATTGTCTATGGGTTATGCAAAGGTGGTGGTGGTGACCTAAAGGTTAGAAAAGCTTGTTTGTGACCAGAAGGTTGCTGGTCTGATCCCCCGACAGGTTAGGTGAGATATAATAATGATTATATTAATATATGGATAAACAGTTTGTTTTCTCTTCTAAATCCCTTTGTTTCATCTGTTGGATTGTTTGCAACAAGTCACACCTCTTGTGTTTCCTTACCTGCCACACTTTTTTTTAGTGATGTCACCAATGATGTCAAGTTATTACAGTGGTCAGTACAATGTTATCATCAAATAAACTAAAAAAATAAGACCTAACTTGTAATAAACAAGAAGGATCTTTCATACACTTCAAGTTTTCATATTTGCAATGTATTAGATTTACTGAAATGTCTCTTCACATTAAATTATTACTTTGCAGGAAATTACCTTGCACATAATAAACTAATAAAATCATGCCATATGTCAGGGTTTCTTCTGCAACAAATATCAAATTGATACAAGGACAGAGAAAATCAGGAAATCCTCACTCTGGAGTATGTGGAATATTGGTCTGTGGATTAAACAAGTCCTGCACAAGACGTGCTGCTGATGAGGTACGGGACTCCCTAAAAAACTTGGTATTTCACCCAGGGGCAGTGCCTAACATCCTGTGTCAAACAGAATATCGTGTGCCTGATGTGTGCTCTTGTTGGCTCGCATCAGGTTGTCTCATCACTTTTCGCAAGTGCTGTAACCTTTAACTTGTTTATTAACCTGATGTTTGCTTCAACCCCAAGATTAAACCTACAGGAGACCTCACGCCTACCTGTAACTTCAAAAAGAGATTTTTTTTTGTGATGATTGATTTACGAAGATACACTTAGATTTTTGCTCCTTGTACTGCTAGCTCTAACTAACATTAGACCTCCCTGCAGGTTTCTAAATAAACTTTTACCTGACTAATGATAAATTCTCAAATTGACTATCATGACGTTCCACTGGAAAATATGTACAACCAAATAGTGCTAAAATATACTGATATTTAAATGGGCTAAATTATGTCCAACAACAGAAATCTACTCAGATAGGGGGTCTTTATTCTGATATAAATGTAGTACTTTGCGTAAATAGATACCCAGCCCAGACTTACAGGCAGACTATCAATTTCCATGTACATAGGTGAGACCAAATATACAAGTTATAGGAAAACATGAACAGTATATTCTGTAGGCCATAATACTTGACACAAATCAAATTACCAATAACAATTAAAACTAGCCCGTAATTTGCCACTAACTCAACTCATTTTCATCAAACCAAAATAATCCATGGTTTTTGTCCTGAATTCTTACAAAGGTGCACACAGGTCATAGTGGGAAACTCATGGACGTGCCGTCAGAGCTCAGGCTAAGATTGTCACGGAGCTCGCTCACTGCTACGTCCTGCAAAACCACGCCCAACTGTCTGAAATACCAAGTCTTTAGGGAGTCCCATTGAGGCATGCCTGGTTTAGACAAATAGTTCTAGCCTCCTGCATATGTCACGTCAGTTTTATGTAGATAGCCTGATATCACAACTCACAGATTCGCCTCGTCTGTACAGCATGCTGTTGTGTGTCTGTCCCTGTAAATGACCAGTTAAAGGATAACTTCGGTATTTTTCAACCTGGGCCCTATTTCCCCATGTGTATGTGTGCGTATGATTCATAGATACAACTCGTTTTAAAATTGGTTCAGTATTGAGGGAGGCGGATGCAACCGGGAGCCGTGAAACGAGCTAAAATGGTAACGGGGGCAAATGCGTCCCATATAAGTTTGCGCATTAAAAGTGCTTTTTTTCGCCACTGACCGGTTCAGATCGCCAGTGCTATCTCTGTAAATAGCATACTAAGCGTTTCCCTTACCTCTGGGCTATGTGACGTCATCTCGTGAGAGCTTTGCTCCACTGTGTCTGTAGCTATCTCTACTTGTGGGACAGCCGTTTTCTTGAGGAAGAGGTGTTTCGGGATTGGATGTCTTCTCTTCTTCGGCTGGCAGTAGTCATCTTGGGAGAAGTGAGCACTGCAGACCCGGTGGTCTGCAAGGCGCAGTGTCTGGACAGGAGTGTTAGCATCCATTTGTAGCACAACTAGCCACAACTTCAACATCTCACCGACCGACAACGGCAGCCTATGAAAGCTGTACGGGGTGTTGCGCGACATCCTGTTCTTGCAATTCGGATAAGCACAAACACGAACCATTGTTTTCAATCGATGCAGTAAAACTCTCAACTGTACTCCGGGACAACCAGCGCCACTCTGAGCAGCGTTCAGCATGGCTCTGTTTTCTTCCAGCAACAAGCAAAGCTCTCGCGAGATGACGTCACACAGCCCAGAGGTAAGGGAAACGCTTAGTATGCTATTTACAGAGATAGCACTGGCGATCTGAACCGGTCAGTGGCGAAAAAAAGCACTTTTAATGCGCAAACTTATATGGGATGCATTAGCCCCCGTTACCGTTTTAGCTCATTTCGCGGCTGCCGGCTGCATCTGCCTCCCTCAATACTGAACCAATTTCAAAAAGAGTTGTACCTATGAATCATACGCACACATACACATGGGGAAATAGGGCCCAGGTTGAAAAATACAGAAGTTATCCTTTAAGATAGCAAGGTGCAACTTAAAGGTAAACATGCCGATTTTCAACCAGCTTGGTGTCATCGCAGTGTGTGCAGATGAACAGTGTATGCCTTCCCCCTGTATTGCTGGTGCCTGGAGCTCACCCCTCTATCTGTTGGCAGACTTTTGCCCACAATGCGACAATACACAGCTGGTTGAAAATCAGCAAATTTTTCTTTTAACTCTGCAGTCTTAACTCCAAAGGCTTAATCAGAATTTTCCAGGGACGTACTGGACTCATTCACCCCTGGGAAAAACTATTCCTTTAAAAGAATATTCCACTGAAAATGCAAGTTTTGAGTATCAAACACTCATCTGTGGGCTGAAGTGTGGCTCTGAAAAGTTTGTATCTGGCTCTTTTCAAAGGATGGCAGCTGAAGTCCTCTGACCCAGTGACCCAGTTTCATGGCAGAGAAAAAAATCAAAACATCTATTCACAACATAATCAAGTTCTCTGCCTCTTCCTTGTAATTGGTGTGAATACATAAGTCGTGATTCCTGCTGTTTCACTTGCAACCAACATACATAAGCAATACATAAATAGTTATACATGCCACAAATATTACAGCCATCTTTCAAACCTTAAGAGATGTCGACATTCAAAGAACAGACTTTCAGTGGTATAGTCCTTTAAAAAAAACATTACCCGCCTTAAATGTCAGTTAAACAAAGCTTAGATGATGGATTTCCCAACAGTCACCTGAGCCTGTGTAACCTTTAGGTCTGTGATGACTGATATGTGCATGAGCCCTGTGTGACTCTGCTGCTAAGTGCATCTCTGACTGTCTTTGTGTGAGGTGAGTAAGGTGAGGTGTGCTGCCACACCCAAGTGTGACAGGAGTTTTACCTTGACCAGGTTTGGCATCTGGGAGCCCAAAAGATTTTTGAATTCATCAACTTTCAGCGTTCCACTTTTGTCACCTGAAGCAGAGTGGAACTGGGTGACCATCGTGTTGATTGCCTTCTCGAGGTCTGAATACTGGGGAGAAGGAAGACAATAGAAAAAGGATGGTCATACCTGGATCTAATTTCATGCTATGATTAGGGGCATTGCCCAAAGGTTCTGCACAGACAACAAATGCAGCTACTGGCCAATCAGCAGGGGAATTGCAAAAAATCTTCCAACCTAAAGGACAAAAATAAAATCTATCATTGCCTTCAAAAACATCCTATATGAGCATTCTGATATGCTCCCTCTGTGGTTACGGCTGCGTTACGTTTAGGCAACTAAAACTACTTAGTTAAAGCAGCTATAATCAATATTTTCTTATATCTATGTATCAAATGATGACATCATCACATGAACCTACAGAGAATGATCAGCTGAAGCTGCAGAATAAGGACTTAGCACCCACTGCATACTCCCTGCTCAGCTGCCAGGCACAGTTAGAGCCTAGCTAGTGAACATAGTTAGCAACACAAGAGACAGATCTGTCCCTCACGAGTTGGTAGAGCCCAAAATCAGAGCTTCAAGAGAGTGTTAGCTTAAAAGGTGATCAGTGTAGATGTATTCATAACTTGTATCCACTACCCCCAAATGGCCAGAAAAAAAAACACTTACTGCAGGTTTTAAATCAGGGAATGATTGATGATCATTGGTGTATGCTGTGAGACAATATTAATTTCTCTAAAGCCAGAGCTTTTGTCATACTGTTTACACTGTATGAACTCTGCCATTAATATCTCTGGTACTTGTAGGTGATGTTGCACATCAGTTAGCAGGACTGCTTAAAGGGAAGACTGGACTGTTATGTGGTTTTTCATCTGTTTGGTGAAGCACCTACATTTGCCAGTTATTTGTTGGATTAGCCAAAAAGACATTCCTATCTGACTACTGTAACTATAAACAATGTTTTTAGTTAATTTTGCATATAAACTACTTTATCCCCACCAAATATATCAATATCAAAGTAGAACATTGTCACACACAGCATGCTGGTAGAAGACAGGATGCCAACACCTATTTCTGATGGCAAGGTCAAATACAAAGAGGCAAATAGATCTCCACCTGCTTTAAAGTGAAACCTGGGAATTCAAAGAAGGATGGCGATGCAGAGAATCATTTAAGAGGACAGCAGGTCATCATATCAATTTCAGGGCTTCATGTGTGCTGACTCATGTTGCTAGGAGCTTATTATAACTTTGGAGCATTTAGAGAAGATGAAGTTAGGATAACGATCTGTTAGTGTTCTCCCATTGGCTCTTACAGACTGACGGTACTTGATAGACAGACAGTTACAGAGCTATTAAACAAATACCACATGTATTTGAATAAGGCCATGAACGTGGTCCGCCCTTTACCATTTGCCCCACCTGAGGTTATGCAGTTAGCTATATCTCTCATGGCTCTACGCTAACTTTTCCCCCAAGGAGTACATTTGCTTCTAAATGAAAGAATTTCGGAGCACACAAAGAAATTTAGGAGCACAGTTAAAAATGTTTATTTAACACAGAGTTTATGAACAAATGTATTACATATGTATTTGAACTGCACGTGTGCAATGTTGTGAAAACTAGAGGAAGACTACAACAGTATAAGACCCCAGTATTTACACCAGAGGTATTCAATAATTGTTAAAGAGGAAGCAAAAGTCTGAACCTCATAGTGTCTTAATTGTGTCCAATAGCCTCCCCCGTGATACTGAACTAACAACCCATGGGCCAAATCTAGCCCACAATAGTGTGCAAGGTAGCCTGCTGACCATTTTCCAAAATCCAATAATTTTTTTGTACTTTGAATGTAAAATAAATTCCAGAGTGCATTAAAAACATCAAAATAGAGCTTGTTCATCAAAAAGAAAGTGCTGGGTGAGGATCCCCAGACACCCTGACAGAGGTCCAGCCCCAAATGACCTCAAATCCTAGAAACAGCCCTGACCTGTGCAGGGCGGCTGCAAATGGATTTGCCTCTTGTTAAAGATGAGTTGGGATAGCAAACGTCAAAAGGCTGAAAACAGGCAACTCATTTAATATATATACTGATAAGTATTATTAATTTTTGATTTTAACTGACTTGGCTTCCTGTCTTTTTGCAAGTGACCCCTGGGCATAGCAAATTGAGTTTCCCTGATCTAGCTCTACGTCTATCAAATGAAATCAACATGAATTTCATTATCATTCCTAAAGTATTTATTGCTCATTTTCAAAGTAGGGTACTTTTAACATACAGACACATGAACATACTTGGAAAACAAACTGCCATCTTTACTAGAAAACAATATGGGTTCTAGCAAAATGAAGCTAAGGCCTACATATCAAGGAAAAAATACACAACATGATTGATTACTCATTTATTTTAATTTTTTTTTCCTACGTCTTTTGCTGGAAAGAGAACTGAGCCTGTGACTGCACCGTTGGGTGAGGTTTGCCTTCAGGGCTTTCTGGCAGAAATGGAGTTCTTGGTTAAGGTAAGGGAAAAAAAATCATGGTTTGGGTTAAAATTAAAAGATTTCTGCAAGAAAGGGCTTTTTGGCAGAACCTTCCCCATATGCACTTGACACCAGCTGTGTCATCACAAAAAACTCTGCACTGATTGTGGCTTGTGGCATTAGGCCTATACTTGTAGTTTTTTTTAACCATTAGCAGCAGGGGGGAAGGGGGAAATGTTTTTATTTTTACTCACACACTGTTCTCGTAAATGATTTTTCCGGTTTGCACATATCTATTTTGGGGGCAAATGTTTGGGAAATACTTGCACTGTAGAGCCTCTATTCTTTTAGAGCCAGTAAAAATGGTTGTTTACAAGTTTATAAAGTTTTATAACCGAGTTGACAAATCCATCTACCACAAGGTCCATTTAGTAGCTCGCATCACATGAGCTTCCTCAACAAAATGGACCTTTAAATCAAATTTTTATGACGCTGCGTTTTTGTAGTTTTTTGTTTTTTAACTGTTGCTATTTCTATCATTTAGTAGCAAAATTTGTAAGGAATGCACAAAGTATTACAACTGTTTAAAGCAGTACACATCCAATGCTTTGGGCATATTATCACTCAACATTCACTCGCTCTTCTTTAAGTCTCTACCAACTCCTGAGAAAAATTCTGTCTCTTTAGCTGCTAAATGCTCCATTATGTTCACCAGCTAGTCTCTACCTGTGTCTGTCTGCTGTTAGCTGCTGAGCAGGTATAGTGGGGTTCAGACCTTTTTTTTCTGGAAACAGCAGCTGCTGGAAACAACACTGATAAGAGTGTGAGACTAAACCAAACATTAAATGTGTTCTGAAGTAAGATTATAAGCTTAAAGTTTAAAAAGTTCTGTGGATTTGCAGATCTCACCATTGTGAGCAACGTCTCTCCGATTACACGCAGCCATCTGATTCATTGTTAGTGTGGTTCAGAGCAGCAATAAAGATGGTTGTCTTGCTACAGTTATTCGGTGCATGTGGGCCAACAGCTTTGTCAAAACCACACCCTTTCTGACTGATGTACACATGCTGCTGCAAGCCCACTTCACCTCAACAGAAACTATCCCACAGACAGACATGGTTCAGTGTTTTACTACTGTAGAACACTGTGCCAACACCTTATTATATTCACTTAACTATTACATAAAGATTATGTCAGCCTAAAGATACCAAATGAGTCAATTAGTCTCTGAAATACAAACAGGGGGCTTTAGTTTAGTTTATTGGAAGAAAATAATTTTCAAAAAATGCCACATTTCTTTTAATATTCTTTGGAAAGATCAGTAGTGAAGAAGCGTTTAGTTAAACAGTTAACATGAGAACAATTAAAGACAGACTGTTTTTTGTTAGAGTGCCCATTACCACACCCAGATCCTGACATTTCTTTCCCGCTCATTGTTGATCACTGTTGAACAGTGAGGTGAGAGATAGTTTGGGGAATTGGGCTTGTTTGGGGGCATTACCTTGACCACAGGCTGCAGTGGATCATTGCTTGTTCTCAACTGTCTCTTATCATTTATCTTAAGTGACATGAAGTTTAGTTTAGTTTGCTTTATCTGTCATTTTCCAACTTATGCAACTCAATTACACTCGAGAAAAACAGTAAATAAACAACAATAAGTCGTTACTTAAACAAAAGCAGGTTTGGCTGACCGAAATGGTGTTGACTGAAGCCTTAGCTTATTGCAACTATTCTCTGTACATTGCTGGGATTTGTACTGTTCCCTTTATTGTTACAATGAAAATATATGCATATTATATACCCAAAAATCCCAAACATTTTCCGTTTCAAAGCTGTTCTACAAATTAATTGACTGTTATGCATCTTTGTTTTGCATTTGTTGTAATATAGTGATGTCACCGATTGTGGCCTATTGTTTAATAAGGGCTGGTCCTGTTTTTAATTTGGGAGGTGACACAGGTTCCCACCCATTGTGTCCCCTTCCCTTCAAAGTCTTAACATATAAAGGTTATCAACTTGTCAGTATTACTGAGGGAAGAGCATGTGGCACAATGAGAAAGGCCCTATAATAAAGAGGAAGCCATGTTTTATATACCACACATAGACAGGTGGATGAACTCCACCTGGGCCCTACATTCAAACTCAATCATATAAAATCGAAGCTGCACAAATGCTCTCTGTAATGTATGTCCATGCTTAGTTATAATATTGTGTGTGCAGTGCTTGAGAGGGTATCACGGGACTTCTGCTTCAGCAGGCCAATGCCTCTTCTCAGGGAGGGGCAGCACACGTTTCCGTGAGAGAAGAGCCTAAAACACGGAGGCTGGGATGCGCAATGGCTCCCATATCTGTTTGGTAAAACTCGAGCGGTTAAACTGGATTAAAGTAGCTCCTTGGATGACTTTTTTCCAGGCCTGACGTGAGAAGCAGGAAACCCTTTTATAATAACTTGCTCCACTCTGTCTAAATCCGTGTGTACATGTCTAATTTCACAGCGGACAAACACTTGGAAACTAAAGTTTAAAAAGTCGACATTGCGAAACTGTGTCGAGCTTTACGCAGGTTTTTCAGTTCTGGCTAATAAAAGAATAACTTGCATTGTTTCTTACCTGAGACATGTCGACTGTTTCAACTTTTCTTCCTGCGTGTCTCGCGCTCGGTCTTGCTGCGTGTCTCGCGCTGTGTGTCAGTGGAGCATTAACTTTACTGACAGTCACCAGCTGGCAGCGTTCCTGGATCCTCCCTCAGCACGAGAGAAAAGCCAGGAAGAAGGAGCCGAGGCACCACCTTACATCCACCTCCACTCAAACAGCACTATACTCTTCCTTTTGTCATATTATGGTATGTATATACAGTATGTGTGGGGACAAACAACGTGTTAAAGTGGGATACAGTATAAAGAGATGTGTTGGGATTATCCACTGAGACGCAGCTCGCATTCAACAGACAGCTCATTCCACATCTGGAAACCTTTAGTCAAAGTTGGACGCTGTTGTTTTGCGCAATAACTGCCTGCAAGTTGAGGCTGGTATTCTACTTTTCCTCCACACTGTCACAGTGTTAACCTCTTCATTACCAACTGTTAGTGTGACACCAGATACTTTTGATAGGTCAGGTTTTTATGCGCACTTTATGAGACTGTGAGAAACGCCTTTAAGTTCTGTTGGAGGGGAGTTTTTTTTTTTTTAATAAAAACCAAGAGAGGGAGAGACAGAGGGTGAAGCAAACAGGCACAACCACATTCTTTCAATCCGGTTTTATGACTTCAGACAGTCAGTGGGGTGGGTGTACAAGTGAGGGGAAAGCTGAAGTTTGGTTCAAATGAACCACAAGAATTTGGCTAAAGGGGAAAAATCTGCAGAATTCCAGCAGACAGAGGATCTTTCGCCCTGAGCTAAAAGAAGAGCTTAGATAGTAGAGAGCAGCTGATGTCCTCGGGGGGAAGGGTGTGTCAGAATATATGATTTCAATGATTTACATGGTCAGAGTCCCACCCCCACCCCTCCTTCTCCTCCAGGTCTCTGAGTATCTGACTGGGAAGGGCTGATGCCACACCCAGTCAAAAGAAGCCACACTGAATTGTTTCGCTATGAAACCATCAACCTTTGATTTTCCCACAGCGTTTCTGCACTGAACTGCTCACAGATGCTTTGCATAAACATGCACACAAACATGGATGCACACATACTGGAATACATTTGTGTTAGTGATTCAGTTTAAATGGTGTTCCCTAAAACTTTATTTCCAAAAGTACTTTTAGGGAACAAACTTACAAGGTGGCCTGTTTATCTCTTCGCAACACAAAACATTCGCAACAAATTAAGTTAAGTCTGTGTCACAAGAGTTCCTTGTATGAGTCAAACTCCAAAAACACTGCGATCTTGATTTCCCATAATGCATCTCTTTGTTAGACCCTCCCTGCCTGGTAAACACCCGCAGCTCTCCAACTCTTCATGTCCAGGCTTTCTTTGATTCATTCAAGCTGAGATAACCCTGATGACAACATCTCAGCTCCTTTAGAGCCACAGAGGGCATACAACTGTTTTCACAGGCTGAGTGGGACTAATCACAGCCAGATACCACATCTTGATATGTAAAATCAGTGGAGACAGAATTTAAAGGGATAGTTCAGATGTTTTGAAGTGAGGCTGTATGAGGTACTTATCCGTAGCCAGAGTGTTTCATACAGTAGATGTTGGTGGGCATGCCCCCAGTTCGGAGAAGCAGGCAGGAGTACAAGATAAACAATGTACTGCTCTGTGGGCGGCAGCAAAATGTATTTTAGCCAACTGAAAAAAAGTCCTACCTAAACAAATCAATGTCAGTATAGATGTGCACTTTGAGACTATGTTCACTACCTCACCTTGCTGTCAGACAGCGATTTCTCCGTCAGGGAACTGAAGCCATTTTATCATTTTCTACAAAGCCAGAGCCCACTGAGAAAAACAGTAATTTAACATAGTTCAACACGGGAGCTGCTGGGGCCAGCTGCACAAAATACCTTAAGTTAAGATTTTCCTTAAAGTCCTACAGATAAGGTTCCTAAACCGATGCACAAAAGACCTCAGCAACCAAAGCTAGTTAAAGTTAACAAAAGAAGTAAGGTACCTCTGACTCTATCTTAGCTGCAACATGACCAAGTTATTGGTGATAAATGAAAAAAAAGGAACACGTCCTGAGAACCCAATGGATACACTTTTGAATCTACACTATAGATCTGACTTAATGAATTGTCGTTGCAATTTATTCCTACAATCATTTTCTGTTCTCTGGTACTGGAGGATCAAATTTACTTTGTAGTATGTGCTGTCTGATTGTATTCCTCCAGAAGTATGATCTTTTCATCCTCTGACCAATATGATTTTCTTGTCCCCTTTTCTTCTGCCATTTTTTCACTAACTATAAGCCAGCTTAATGAGACGAAAACAGGCATCGCAAGTGTGAGTCCAAGCAAACAATCTCCATGGAAGTTTTTACCACTGTAAAATCTCTTTCAGCAAAGCAAATGAGTTAATGTTTTTTGTGCAACCGGCCCCCGGTCTATTGCTGCCTCATACAGTTAGTTTGTACACAGCCCTGCAGCAGATAAGTATGCTTCTCTATGTGTTTTTTTTTTTTGGTGTGTCATGTTGGATGTGAAATTTTGAAGCCATTTAAAGTAAATCATATTATATTAATGTATCGTTTCACCTTGAAACCTTATGTGTTTTTTTAAAATCATGACAGCGTACTAGAGTTTCCACTTCAGCCATTTTAACCCGTTGTTTTAATGTATATGAAAGTGAGCTTAGTAATATAGGATAGTCATTGATTGTACCTATATTATTAAAAAAATAGTGGGGGCAGCTTAATCTTTTATTTCATTCCAGAACTAAACAAAAATTTCAGGTATGATTCTTCCAACAATGCAAGTACTTCTCAGACAGGTTATGGAAATGACAATAAAAAGCTTTTTAAAAGCTGCATGCAAAACATCTCTGCCTGTTCCATCGAGAATATCAGAGCAGTTGGCACTGAGACAGTGTCCATAATCAAACTACCAATGACCCATGCAGCACCAAAGAAAAAACATCATCTCCAATTTGGTCCAATTTTAGTCCATCTGGTCTCCACAATCTTTGGTGGTCTCTGTATCAAATTATCAAACTCAGTCCACTGTTTATTGCCAGAGAAAAGTAACCTCAGCTTTCCCTACCACCACAGCCACATTCCTCTGTCCTAGATGACACTGAAGTGTACTACTACAGTAGCCTGGCTGTCACACAGTGTGCTGCAGAGCATATAAAACCCAGAGGACAAAGCAACAGCAAGACCTGGCATCAAGTACGAGCCAAAAGACTGACGTCATCATTCAAGAAAACCTGTTGGTTTGGCAGCCAACATGACGAAACTGTGCACACAAACTTAAAGCAAAAGAGAGGCCTAAAAATGAAGCCAGTTGGTGACTACAAGGACATCACTGGAAATGAAGTCAGCCCTTGCAGATTTGTGACTTACTCCCATGCTCCACACCTGGGTGCCTCGCCTGACAGTAAAGTGTGTGACCTTAGTGCAGCACCCACATATAGACAATCAACCATCCAGGCAGGGACAGCTTCAGAGACTGTGCATATTTGTACTGCAAAGCTGATGGCACCTATGCTTTGAAGACCATATATGAGTACCAACTCTAGATGGTTGGACCTGATGGGTGTAACTGATATGGCATGGTGCCAATATGACAATAACCTGGAGCGTGTCTACTTAAACCCTGAAGAATATGAAATCCAAACTTGACATTTTGTTTTTGATATACTTCCTGCCTGCCTTGTGCCAATGTATGACATGAAACACGGGAGTCTCTGTTTAATAAAAGTGCTTTATTTTTCCACTATGGAATTCTTTTAATTTCTATTCACTGATACACAGCTGGCCCATAGGTTACTTTTGATGCATATAAAAAATTAATAAATAAATTATTTATTAATTGTAAAACAGCCTGACAGTATGATTAAATCCTTCATGTGGGTGGATTTAGTGTAATTTCTTATTATAAACCTCAAACCTGACCTGATTCAGGTTTGGCATTCATATCATTGGTCGACTGAGTGATAAAGTAACACCATTTAAATTCTTTAAATTCTATAAAATACAGTTTTCTCACATTTATCATATTATTTTCTTAAAACAGGAGCTGATGTTCAAGAAAAATGCACCGTGATTTCCCAGAAAATATTTACTTGAGGTGTAATATATACAGTATGCCTGATGCTTCTCTTTGAATCCACAGTCTAATCAGGATGCAAAAAATAAATTCATTAAAGAAACAGGTGTCAAAATCTTAAGAACTGTCAAGGTTTGCATATATATATATATATATATATATATACACACACTACAATGTCACATATTTAAAACTAACTTTAACTGGAAACTACTAGAACTAGAAAAGTGCACTCAGTAGATTGCAAATCTCCATTAGGTGTGTCTGGGGAAATGTGGGTGGGGCACAGGCAGCGCATGGCAGGCTGTTTGCCCAGCACGTATGCATGACAGTAGTGGAATGACAAAGATTTGAATCTCACTCAATAGTCCCTCTCAGCTCCCTTACAGGTAAAATGGTGGCAAAGATAAGAAAAACTGGGATATTCTTATCTCGTATTATTCCTAACTTTAGTGGATCATAACGTATCGAGTATGGAATTAATCTAATTAATCTATTAATTTTATCACCCCTCTCAGTTAAAGACAGGATCCCTGATTGTCTTATCAGTTAACGAACCTGCATACAGGTCACTGACAAATGTCATTTCCCATGATGGAGAAATGCCAATTAGGGTGGTTTAAGGTGATATTACCTTTATAGTGAGAGTATATTTCAGCGTTGCAAACTTTTGAGCTAGGTCACTGCACATGTATTTCCATACAGTCTAATATAACTCTTGTAGGTGGGTAATTTCTTTGCAAAAAAAGGAGGAATACAATACACTCGTTTACAGTTTCTCGTAAAGGCCAAATATTAAGTGATCCTAACATGAAATGTAGGAAGTGTGTCCAGGTGACGCAGACCCTGCTTCCAGCTGACTGTGACACACTAAAGCCTTCCTGCTCAGGAAAACCTTGCCTCAGATGACAAAGAAAAAAGGAAAAACTGGTCAATGACACCAGTTTCAGAATGATAAACCCCTGCCTTAGCATTTCCTCACCAGCCTGCCTTAATCGCTGTGACTACACCCTGCCATGTTTTCACCTGCTTTGAGTGTGTTGTAATCTGGAAAGACTTAGAAAACCACAATGTCCTTATTGTCACCCTGAAATCTTGAAAGGAGAACTTGCTCATCTTGAAGCTACTATGCTCGATCACTGATGGTGTTGTGGGCTTCCTCAAGTTGCTTGACCAGTGGTAGGGGCCGTTCAGTAAAATCATTGTCAGGGTGTGGAAGGGCCGTATCTTCACAGGACGGGAATGAAAATATAGAGGAACACATTTTTAGGAGAGCACAATTTAAGCTAGTGATTAATCTCCAATCTGAGGTTATTCACATATAAAAAGATGCCTTTCTTCTTAAAGTGATATTATATTATGGCAATCAGATAATATTAATAAAGCACTAGGGTAGGGAGTACATTTTTTCTGCTCAGGAATATACTTATCTCTTACCTCAACTCATTGGAATTTACACCAACCTGCAGGACATTGTCTTGTGGTAGTGGTTGCATGACTGAAAAGTATTAGCACTGAAAATAAGTAACATGAAAATCAGTCACAGTTACATATTGTGTACTGAACAGAAAAATACCTTGTAGTTCCTCTGACAATAGTCCTCCTTACAGGCCTCACAGTGCTGTCAGTCCAGGCAAACAAAGTTGACACAGCACAATTCTTCAGCTTTCACTTTCTGCTCAAGGTCTTCAAGAAAGACTCTTCTGTGAAGTGATATGAACATTCTTTTGTGTCCATGTGGATCTGTGGCATTAGATATAAAATTGCTGTCATTGCTTTATAGTTTTTTGCCTGACTTTGTCCATTTAAGCAATAGTTACTAAAACAGGCAAATGTCCCCTTGCTTTCACTCAGTTTTAAAGGTCTAGTCTGAAGGATTTTGTGGCATCTAGCGGTGAGTTTGCAAATTGCAACCAACTGAAACTTCTTGCCATGCGTGCCATGTAGTGCTATGGTGGCTGACATGAAAATGCCTAATATAAACAGCTCATTATACAGTAACAAAAACACAACAATTCTTAGTCTTGGGTGATTATACATGAATGAAAACATAGTTACAAATATTCTAGTCCACTTCTGCCATATATGTTCTCTTAAATCCTCCACACTGGACCTTAAAGACCACAGAAGGATGCTAGCTAGCCAGGCTAGTCTCAAGAACTATGAATTACCCCAAATAAGCCCCTTAATTGTTTAACCTTAAAACAAGAGCAGGACTGGTTCAGGACTAATGGAACCTTAGAAATTTAGCTGGACCAGATAGCTGTCTTAGCTAGCTAACTCTATTATTTTTATTTATTTAACCTTTATTTAACCAGGCAAGTCATTAAGAACAAATTCGTATTTACAATGCCGGCCTCTATGCTAATGTCTGCCTATATAGCTTGCCAGTTAGCCTTGCTAGCTAACATCAATATGGCTAGCCCAATTCACAGTGTCAGCTAATAATCGACCTAACATCTTACCTTGAAATGGCGAGCAGGATCTCTTTTTATTTTGTGAATCCATTCACAGCGAAGTGCAGGATCTTTGGGAAAAAGATGGAAGGTTTGACCTCTACAAGATTTCTTTCTTTTGGAAGAGGTATATTTGGGAACTCAGCAGTGAGGCTGCATTGCTGGTACCCCGAGTTCCAATGTCACTTCCATCCTCCTCGGCCTTATTTTGGTTTAAGATGGTGACACAGGTGAATAAGGCGAATAGCACAGAGGAAGAAAATATATCAGGCTTTGATACACACACAGTACTTGTTCATAGATACATTTCCTGTTGGTTTGGCTCTACACACACAAAAAACATTTATCCATTCATTTTATCTTTTTACCTAAGCACTGAATCTTTTTCAAGCTTCTTTGAAGGAACTGCATCTGACTGCAGAGCTGATTCTTTAGTGTTGTCATACATTCCAGAGGCCAAGCATCCTGTGAAATACACATTTAGGTCCACACAACACACTGCATATGCTGGCAAAATAGCCTGGAACAACTGAATCATTCAGAAAACAAAGTGACTCCTGTCAGTTTATAAACTCAGTGCTCAGCTGGAGGTGAAATCCTTCCAGATGTTCTTTCAGTTTCTCCCTCACATCTTCTCCCATTGCCACTGGTGTAGTGTTAATGACAGAATGCTGATCACTGTGATCATCATCACACGTCGTTTCAACTCTAGACAGACATTCGTTGTTCTCCGTCATATGCCCTAAGTCTGCTTTAAGATCCAGTTCTGACACAAGTATGGTTTGCGCTTCATCAGCGACTCTGTCCGTCTTGAGCAAGCTTTGTAAACCATCTTCAGCAGGGACAGGCACCAGAATGACCTGTCCCTCAGCACTGTCTTGTATCCAAAAGAGCTGCTGCTGCTGCAGGTCCAGGTGATGCTCCTGACCCATACTTTCTGTCTCCCCTTCACACATGTCAGAGAGCAGCAGCTTCTGTTGAGAGCCTAAAAAGTGCAAACTCTGCTCATGAGTATCAGACAGAGACACTCCAGCTGCATGTTGAAAACCTTGAGTTTGGAGCAAGAATTGGGAATTTGTTACATTTGAGTCACTGGTTTCTACTCTTTTTCCAGGTGGTCTTTCCAGCCTGACTATCTGTATGTCTTTGGCATTTTCACTTGTGTCACAATTACTAGTTTCAACACTTCTCTGACTCTTCAGAGAGCCCTCGTGCAATGTGGGCTGGACATCTTTCCCAGTCTTTGTAACTCTGCGAGCTACCTGACCGCCAACCTGCCCTCTTCCACAGTAAATGCAGTATCCCTTCTCCTCCTCAGACCAGCTGTTATTGTCTGCAAGAAAACGATCTCCCAACTCCATCTGATCCACACATCTGTCCTCAAACATTCCTGTGTCCTCAGATTTAGCATCAGTCTCACTTTCCTCCTGGTTAGAACCTCCTTTGCCTCGTCTCTTCTCCCCACCTGGTGTACAGCTCCCTCTATTTTTACAACCATCTTGTGACAACAGCAGAGTGTGCTTCAGTCGTTTATCACGGAGCCTCAGCACAGTGCTCCGCAGGCGGTTCTCCCTCCGCCTGGCTGCGTGCAACTGTCGCAGGGCCTTCTCCAAGCAGTCAATAGCCTGGTCGTAACGTCTCCTCCACTGCAGCGGGCAGAGCTGTGCGTAGCTGTGCTCCTTCGACAGGTAGAAGCCTGGAGGAGGGGGCAAGCGCCTCATGTACCGTGATGGGGAGAGGGGACGTGGTGCTGGTGATGGACATTCTTGCTGCAAGAGCTGCTCAGCCCCTGATGGCTCTTGAGACGATGCAGGTATGTTTTCATTAGTCTCATCAGCTGTACCCACTGACCTCTGAACTGTGGGTTCTTCTAAGGTTTGGCCCTTGTCTGTATCCTGCTGAGCGTTCTCCTCGTCAGCAGAGCAGGGTTTCTTCCTACAGAAAGATGGGGACAAAGGTCTTTGTTCCATTAATTTCACCTTCACATGACAGGAAATACAGCTGGGTGACAAATAAAAGCTTTGCACATTAAATTCTCATCATGCTTATTAGCACTCAAGCTAAGGCTGTAAAGTTCGTCTGCACGAATGCTAACATTAGGACTTGTATTTTGCGACTGTATCATTGTGTATGGGGAATGTTTGTAAGTTGTTTTTTATTGAGAATGTCATTTTCTGTCCTTTCTTTTGTGACTGAATTTCTCTTTGGTAAAATAAAGTTAATCAATCGAACTCAAGTCCAGAGAAGTCAAGGGGAGAGGAGCAAGTAGAGATCTCTAAGGAGCGATAAGTGTTCCATGAGAGCAGCCTTTGCAGAAGTCATTTGCTGATCAACATGCCTTCTTAGTAAATATCAGTTGTTAATTACACACTGCAGCTGATCAGATTGATCTGATTACATCACAACATCAATGGAGTTTCATTCCAGAGGGAAGACAGATAAGAGATTAAACTGAAGTGTATGAATTGTTTTCTGATTCACCATCTAGTTAAAAATCTGAACAAGAAAACACACACTGAACACTTTCTTTATTAGAAAGATTTTCCTTTTCACGATCTGTTATTGCCCTCATTTATTTAGGAGACAATTTAAGTCAGAGAAAGTGTGTCTAACATCACCCATGAGGCTGATATTTCCTGAACCTTGGATTTGATGAATTGCAGAATTTCAATTTCCCCAGAAACATTTAGCCTAATATATAATTTCCAGTGTTCAAAATGCACCATAATCATATTCTGGCTTATTAAATAATGAATTCACATTCGGAATATCAATAAACACAGATGCAAATAATGAATAGGCCTAAATCGTACAGCAGTCTGTGACTCTGAGCAGGACACAGTAAATTACATTACATTATGCGTGTGCAGACACAAACTCCATTACAAGTTTCTACACCTGTTAATAAAGCCGACCAACAGCTGACGCCATCAGAAACAGACGCTGCATCATGTGATGCTTCAGAGGACAATACGTCTCATTTCTCCAAAGACATATCTTCTCATTTCCTCTCACCTCGCATCTCTCCCTGCATCTTATGAGGGCAGAGCTAAGACGCGAGGAAGAGACCCAAGTGAGGGAAACATGGATTCGAGATAAGGTATTTGGATAAACCCACGGAGTGCTGAGGTGGCTCAAGCCTCCATTTCAGCTCTATTCTGCTTGTTTCAATCTTCCCATTTCCCTCTGGATAATTATTACAGTCTATCCATGAATTACAACCATTACAACTCTCTGATTTACTGAATACTAATAGGAATAGCTGCACTCTTCCGGTGTTTACTGCAACTGCTGCACAACAATTTCCCGCTGGATGAATAAAGTTCTTATCTTATCTTACTCCCTCTACTGGAGGGATAAACAACATTTTGAAAAATATATTCTCTTATTTAGTATTTTGGTTGTGGTGGAGTTGCTGTCCTAACAAATGGCTCTGAAATCTTCCATGGGTGTTAGGTTGGATTGTGATCTGGTGACTGTGAAGGCCAAAGCGTATGATTCACATCCTTTTCATACTCATCAAACTAGTCAGGGTGGCCTGTGACCTGTATACAAGCATCTGCATCCAATATGTTTCTACACTCATTCATCCCAGTTGAATTTGTTACATGTAGTATACTGGCCAAGAAACGGTTGGAGAAAGTTAATGTTATCTCAAGATAAAGAGATCCTTTTATTATGTCGGCCTTATCAAATGCTGCGGTTTTAGTTTACATAGCAGCTGATAACATTAGCTCCAGTAATGCAGTTTAGTTCATTTCTCCAGTGTGTAGGCTAACACTGTATGTGAAGCTGTTGGAGGTAATATCCAAATCAAAGCATTGCAGTGATCTTGCTGATATTTTTTGTACGGGTGGTTCAGATCAGCTGCACTGCATGGTGTTAACAACATTTAGGAATACCTGTGTTTACTAAGCCTACCAAAAATAGCTCATGTCATATGAACAACGCATATTGCATTAAACCAGTTTTTTCCATGGTGACACTCTAATGCTGCTCTTCTCACTGTCAGTAAACTCAGTAGTCATACTGACAGTCAGGTAACAGAGCAGAGACTTAGTGCCTGTGCTTGTATTGTTTACTTTTAAGCCATGTGGTCTATTGTTCTGCAGATGGCCTCTACTTTTTAGGGCATAACATAAGTCACCAATGCCAGAACTGGTAACAGAAGAATAGACAATAATGATGTCTAAATGTTTAAGTCTTTACTTTGTTGAAACTGACATATCCTCTGATCATTTTTTTGTTGTCTATAGCTGTAGACAAAAAGTCATGAAATCCTGTCTCAATGTCATTTTACAAGCTCATAATCCTTTATGTCACGTAAGCACATAAGTTAGGCTCATAAGCTGCAGATCAAAGGTTGGCAGACAGACACTGCTCATGACCAATGACAAAATGTGACTCTGTATCGATTCAGTGTACCTGACTGGTATGTCCTCTTGTGTCTGCAGTGCTCCTTGTCTTTTGCATTTGGCTGAAGAAGAGGAATCAAACACTGTAGGAAATGCATCTTCCTTTAGTCTTCTGATCCCACTGTGAGTAAAAAGGTCAAACACATTTTAGGCTGCTATCCAAACACCGTCACCAGTAAAGAAATATTTTGCATCAATGGTTAATAACAGAAAGTACTGATAATTATCTCTTAATGTCCTGATTGAGTTGACAGACCTGCATCCAGTCAGTTCAAAGCTCTCTGGGGTGAAGTGTTTGGAGCAGAAGTAGACAAAATCAGTCTGAGGATCCCAGGAGTCTGCACGGTGGGAGTTGGTGATCCAAAGGTTCCTCCGAATTGCTCCTTTTGGTAATCTGGCCATTACAATGCCAAGTTATTATTAATGAAAGCAATGTTTTGTCTCTTCAATACCGTCGTCATGTTTGTCACTTTAATGCAAAAGTTCAAATTAAGGAAATCTCTTCATCATTTCAGTGCTCTCTGAATGGTACATCAAAACTACATTGATAACATGATGATTTCCAAAATACTCACTTATGAAAGGTGATACCAGCATTACGTGTCTCACGGTTGTCCCGGGATTTGCAGCCACCCGCTGAGCAATGTCTTGGCATCTAAAAGTGACACAGTGAAGAGAGAGAGAAAAAGTACAGTTATTTATTTTGACTGGTATCAATAATTCAATCATGAGAAGAATTTAATGCCCGTTGGGAAAGTTACACTGTGCAGTCCTTCAACTTCTCATTGTGGATATATGTGCTTGTACAGATTAATGACAGGCATCAGGTTTAAGACCATGAATGTTTTTAAGCAGAAATGAAGCAGACACTTATCTTGGTAATTTGAAGGTAACTAACATTTTATAACGACCACAGTGGTTTCTGATTAGTGCCAGTTACTGCTCTGTTGCTGCTGAGTTCAAAAGCTACTTCAGGAAAGGATGAGTTAGGCTATGAGATGACAGGCCAAGGTACAATTATGAAGGCTGTGTTGCAGCTTGCACCACCATGTGAATTAATTTATATGAAAGAAACTTGTGATTATACAGCTGCCTGCAACTACCTGTTATTTCCTGATTACTTTCTGTAATCATTATTTCATCCATAAAATGTGAAATGAAAAATAACAATCACAATTCCTGGGGCACAATGTGATGTCTTCAAATGTCTTCTTATATGAATATAGTGGGAGGTTTTCCAGTTCAGTTCATCCACACCAAACTGGGAAAAGCATTTCTTTATGGTGCTGCCTATATGCACTGGAGCACTGGACAAGTCTGTCCGCATACAGTGCATTTGTGTCCAGCACGGACTTGTTGGAATATGGATTGATAGCTGGAGACATACATTGAACCCCTAACTGCTCGCAGCGACTACAATGCCACAGCCCCATTCCGCTGACATCTGACAACAATGCATGTCTCCAGATCCTGTGTGTGTTTGTACGTATATTTAAGGCCCATGAGTGTATTTTAAAAAAAAGCATAAAAAACATGAATGAATGTATTCTCCAAGAACATTAAGAGAAAAGAAATAAATCAACAACTTTATCTTATAATTAATAATAGCTACAAAAACTATTAACCTTATCAGAGGCGGGGCCAAGTCATTGTTTTGCAAGTCACAAGTAAGTCTTGAGTCTTTGCACAAAAGTCTCAAGTTAAGCCCCAAGTCCTGCAAGTTTTGAGTCCTGAACAAGTCCTGATGTGCTCCTCACCATTTTCAATGCCATTTTATGAATAATAATATATTGAATTTGCAAAAATCTTGAATGCTTTAGAAAAAAATTAAATTATTGGTAAAAATGACTGCAACAGAAAAAAGTAATTTGTCCTGTTGCATTTAACTCATCTAATTTAGAAAAAAATGTCTATTATCTCTCTTCCCAGAGTGCCTTGTGGGGAAGAATTAAGTATTTTCTAGTCAAAAGGCTCAAATCCAGGTGAAGTCACAAGTCATTGGTATTTAAGTATAAGTGGAGCTGCAAGTCTTTTTTGATTTTGTCAAGTCTAGTCTACAGTCATCAGATTTCTGACTCCAGTCCAAGTTATGTCCTTACCATATTATACATCACCTGAATTAATATAACAATCAATTCACATTCACAAATGTACATTTACAAACAAAACATTCAGGTCTGTGATTATTAAACAATATTTATTGCATTTTTGCTGCTCTCCAACTATCCCCTATTTTTTTAGGTGTGTAAGTTACTTTTATCTCTTTTTTAACTTATTTATTACTCCTTGTTTTGATTCTTTCTAGTGTTGTTGGCTTGCTTGTAAATTCTTGACTTCAGCAATAAAGTTATCACAGAGGGGGAAAAACGCCGATACTTCACTGTCCTATTAGAAAAATATCTGAGAAAAGAAAACAGACGCAATAACATTAGATGTTGACTTTTGCCCATTCTGCCATTCAAACGTTGTATTTTCGGAGCACTGTGCTGCTGGGTGTAAATCCCACTGCCTCCTCGTTACGACTGACTTTTAAACTATTAATTTATACGCATCGGCTTTGAGACATTTGTATGAAACAGGGAAATATTAGTAACGTTACTGCCACAAGCCGCTGTCTCATCGTTTCCCTGATGCTAACTTTGGGCCATGTAACAAGCTAGCCAAGGAGCTAGTAAATAAGCTAACCCATTGAAGTTCCGGTGTTCAGCTGCAACTAGAGTTCAGTAAACACCGGGGAACACGATGATTCATAAATACTAAAGATATTACCCCTGCACTGCAGATTTCGACCTCACGAAAATGGCTGATCTTCTCTTCGTCCACCTTCTTCCTTCTTTTCCTCGTCCTTCTTTTTTTGTATACAAAACTTTATTCGTGCGTCTTCTTCTGTGGTTGTACTAGTGGACTAGAAACCAATGTCACAGGCCCATACCGCCACCTGCTGGAAGAGAATGTAACAACATGACCGTAGAAAAAAGTTACAGCCTAGATATTGAACCTGCTTGGTTTAAATTAGGGCTGATAAGGGACTGATCTTTATTTATCAACTATATTTTTTATTTTGATCCTTTCTGAGGCCACAAATATTAGTTTTCCTTGAGCCTTCTTGAGTGACGGGTGGAAAATGCATGACCCTCCCCAAGAAATTATAAGATATTAGATTTTTAAATATCAGTGTTTGATAGTTAAAAGTTAAAGATGAAATCCTGGGGTTGATGCACACTGGTTAGTTCATGCAAACAGTTTATTTATTTATTTATTTTTTGCCAAATTTTAAATGAGACGTAGAATAAAGTGATTTTGAGGAAGTATCTCTATTTTAAGATCAGATTTGGTTCTGGGGTTTTTTTCTGACAGAAGCATTCATCTCACATGATGTATCCAAGGACTGCCAGAAATTTGATTATCCAATGTTAATTTCTGTGTTTACAGTTTCTGGCTATGATAAATGGTGTAATTGTGAGATAAAAAATAATAACATGTATTCCATGGCATGTTTTCTTTAAAAAATTGATGGTAAAATAAATACAAAATACAACCATTTGAAGTTGTATGCCCCTCTGCCAGCCAAAATAAAGATTAAAAAACCCCTTCCTCAGTGCCTAACATTATGCGTATGGTATGTACAGTATGTACAGTGTCCTAGCCTTGTCTGTTAGCTTATCTGTTAACATTCAGTAAATCTACTAATTTAGTGTGGGATAATCCACCAACACGCTTTAATGCACATGGAATTTAGTTAAGATGTGCTGATAATATAAAATTTGAGTCTTTAGTTATCATACCTGTTGAAAGTGCATCACAACCGGGGTTCATCCCAATACCCCTCCTCGATTCCTCAACTCCTCTATCCTCGATCACTTGACCCAGAAATTGATTAAGACTTGCCATCTTGAAGGACATCTCAATTCGATTCTAGTCAAGTCGACAAGTCTTCTCACACTAAAAATCACAAGCACCAAATAAGACAGATGTGAGGAACCTGTCAAGCTCCCCAGGCAACGGTTTATCTGCTCTCCTGTGGAGTTCATCTGCAGTAGGCATCATCTGGAGTACTAAGACAAAGTCCGCAAGTATCATCTTGGCAAGAAAGAGGTATTCTTGTTGTCTGTCATGAACTACAGACGGTTCGTTTTCATGCTCATCTTCTCTGTGAAGACCAATGACCTGGCACTCTCCCTTAAGTACAATGAGGACATGATGGGCTTGTTCTTCACATTTGATAGTCAGAACTACTCCAGGTAATTGTAATGAACAAAGCTTATGGCACACTTAACACTCAACAACATTATTCATACTTCGTCAGGCACTTGGTCTAATTTGAAGTTTTCCTCACCAACCTTAAATAGACTCATCTTGGTGTCATAGACCTCATCCTTTTAATAACCTTGACATCCATGTAAGATATAAAGTAGCTACATTTGGCTATTGCAGGAAACAACTGTGAAACAAAATAGTAAAAGTTATGAGCTTAAACTGTGTCATTTGCCCATTTTTCCGAATAAAGAGTTTGATTCCTGGTTTCCAAATTTTATGAAAAGCAGGTATATTTGTCTTTATATTGTCTGGTTCAGGAGTTATGAAAATCGGCATTTTCCGCCATTACCATGGACATTAAGTCAAGATGGCCTCCCAACAAGCCCATGGGCCATGAGTTGACCTTGCGGACAAGAAAAATTCTTAACTAGTCACCATTAGGATCCTAAAAAAACAGGTTACAAAAAAATGTGATGCAGGTGCACAGGACCCCATTTCTCCTGCTAGACTATAAATTCTCCACCTTGCACATTATTGGAGGGTCCACTCTCTCTATAGGCCCGTTTCCATCCCAGGAACTTCGGGGTAATTTTACGGGGCCGGGGCCATTGGTGCGTGTCTCCACCGCAGGAACCACCCCCGAAGGACAGAGTTCCGGAACTTTTACGGGGGCTAAACAAGTCCTTGCCTCAGGGTAGGTACTCAGAACGGCCCCGAAAGACTCCTGGCTGGGGCTTGGGGATTACTTGGTGCTGATTGGATATACTCAAGGAGGGATGTGACGTCAACAGAAAGCAACAAAATAGCCGGCATTTTTAAAACTCAGCAGATGAGGGTTAGCTCGTTCATATAGCTTTCGTCGCCATGTAAAAAAAAACTCACTAAATGGCCGGTGAAAAAAATATTCTTTCCAGCGGATATCTTAGTTATAACATGATTGAGCTAGCAAAGCAGTTTTGTGTTGATGTGTGTGGTATTTATTCAGTTTTGGGAAATCACGATGTCTAGAAAGCATCAGCTAAGAGCAGCAGCAAAGCTAACAACAGGATGTCATCTGTTAAAAGCCTCCCGTTGTCGGATACGACGTGAAACTACTACAGTTAGCTCAATCATGTTGTAACTAAGACATCCGCTGGGAAAATTTTTTTTTTCACGGGCCATTTAGTGAGTTATTACAGACACCGCTATCGGCTAACGGCATCCCTACGTCGCCCTGGTCAAAATGGCCGCGCGACGATTACGTCACATCCAGAGGTAGCCCGTAACTTTACAGGAACCTTCCTCGTACTCCACTCAGTGGAGACACGGAGGTTGAGAGGGCCGAACGAGAGGACGTTCCTGTAGTAGTTCCTGCCCCCCAAATAGTACCAGGAACTTCTTCAGTGGAAACGGGCCTTATGGGCCACCATGGGCCCCAGTGTAACCGCACTGCCTGCACTGTCTATATTTACGCCCCTGGTGTGTAGCCTACTTTTCTGAAATGTTGTTCAGGTTTTAAACGCCTCTTCTGGGGATGAATACATTTGAATTAAAATTATTTACATTTCTAAAAGTAAACCATTTTGACCAGTAAGCATTAAGCGACCCTGCCCCTCCCCCCATTGAGAGGCGGGCTCTGAATCACAACACACACCCATCAGTCTGCTGCTCAGCGGAAGGACCCGTAGGCAGTAACGGAGAGAGTACCAGAGTATGATGAGATGAGGATCCATGCACAGCACGGAGCTCCGGGGGCGTGATGTAGGCTGTGTGCTCGGGGTGGGCGCTGACAGGCTGCTGGACCGGTCGCTCCTCTCCGGCCCTCGGCAGCCGGCTGGCGGCTCAGCTCTCCGGCATCCCGGTGCTCTCTGCTTCATGCAAGACAGAACGGTCCCGGGAAGCTCCAGTAACGCAAGCTCCAATGGTTTTTGCTCCTGTATCTGCACTGGACCCCAGAAACAGGGCATGGATATATGTAAGTCACTGTGTTATTTTTTTAATGTAAACAGTGTAAATTGAGATGCTGTTTCTGACTGATGCTTCTATTTTAATTACTGCGCTGAACTATGTAACGTCAGTCCAGACCCAGGAGTTTGGAAAAGATGAGGTGATGTCTGCCGGCCGGCTCCATCATCATCGGCTCATCCCTAGTTTGTAAGTATTTAGTATTTAGTGGATTTGTAACATGATATGAGAAGTCTCCGTATGGGTGAAGTGAAGAGTGCTGCATTGAAGGAATAGCAGCTTACAAACAGCCAGATGGCTGAGAGACGGCAGGGTATTGCTCCTGGTCGGTCTGTCTGTGTGGACAGGCCGGCTGATGAGGCATCCACCCTCCCCCACATCATCTACTTCCCACCGGCAGACTGCTGTCAGACAGCACAATCCCTGCAGCACAAAGACACTCCTGGAAACCAGTGAGGCATCACTGGTGACAAGTATTAGAATGCATGATGATATTTAAAGCTACAGGAGATCTGATGTTGTATTTTTATCTGCAAATTTATAGGCGCACACGCGATTTTTCCAGTAATCAGTTTTATGCAAATGAAACCTGGAAGGACAGGGGTCAGTCTGATTGACCTGCATGTTATGGTGCATGTGAAATGAGGCCAAGGAAACCCAGTAAAGGTTGTGGGGTGGGGGGACATAAGACATGAGCATGAATTTGGGAATAGTAGCTTGACATAATCTTAACTCAAAGTCAGCTTAGTTTATTCATTGCATATTGACCTTGTATGTTAGCACATGGTTATAACCAGGTCACATGATGACAACTCGTCCTAACTAAGGTAGCCAGATTCCTATTTTCATTCATAATGCTACATTCGGCCCAGACTTCATGTCTACCATTACTACACAGTAGTATGAATTTATCATCATTTGTGGACAACCAGGCAGTTCTGACCAGTCCACTTATGTCAGTGTTAGACTGCTTTTTTTTAGCACCCATATCTAATGGTGCAGTGATACTCAACTTATGGCCAGCAGGCCAAATCTGGCCCGTGATAGGGTGCCAAGTGGCCCCCCCAACCATTTTCTAATACACAATGAAAATAACGTGATTCACAATCAAAACAGAGCTTGTTTAGGAAAAAAAGTGCCAGAGGAGGATCTTCTCGACCCCCTGACAGAGGTGTGGGCTAACCCCCAGTGTTCTCAAATCCTAGCATCACCCCTGCATACACCTGACCTTTGTGGAGCTGCTGTGAATGGCCCATGCCCTCCTGTCATTTTGCAGAAGTGGCTCCTGGGTTAAGTGTCTGGAGCATTCATCCATTAAGAAAACTGGATCATGTGGTCGCAGATGATGCCACATTCGGTCCAAATTCCATACACCAAAAAAGGGGTTTTAAGGCCTCCATAGGAACAGCCCAGTTCTTCATTGTACCCACAACATTGACCAAAATATTGCCTAAATGCATTTTGGAACTAACAGCAGGTCATGGTATTCCTGCAAAACGCTGCTGAGAATCAATATAAATTTATGGAATAGCTCGCGTTTTCATTTTAGTAACTGCAGATTATTTTTACGAGGTCCATGGCTCAGTTGTTGGTTCTTGTAGTTTCCTGTATTCTAATGGAGCATGATGGGGCCTT